ATAGTGGCAATCCCAGTAATGTGTACCGTAATGGTGGCAATGCCACCAACATTGACTGAAAGAGTATTAAGGCAATCCCACTAATAATAATACTATCCCTAACTCAACCCCTTACGAGTGGATTTTAACCCCAAAAGCTGAGCTTGTCCGGGGAAAGGGACGGCTATTATTATTATTTGCCGTGGCGCTCCGGGGCGACTTAAAGATGATTGATGGTGCCATTTGACTTACAGGTGAGGAAAACCCGGAAAACCTCACCCACCATCATCATCGAGGTAATGTATGGCGATTTTTTTATAATCTGCATGTCATATCAACAGAAATTGAATTTCTATTAATACGGCACACATCAAATCCTATACCGAACCATGCAATTAATTAATTAAAAATCCACATGGTCTGGGATTCGAAGCCCAGCAGTCTCTGATACATAAACTTGCTTATAAATGAATATAAGCGCGTTAGACCGCTACACCACCGACCCGATGTTTATGGTAATGGTGGCAATCCTATCAATGTTGATTGAAAGAATGACTAGTAACGATCCCACTATGTTTACTGTAATCGTTGCAATCCCACCAACATTAATTGAAAAAGTAATTAATCGTTTAGCGTCTAAAAAGAACATTAGTGATAATGTTCATAAGTAGTAACAGTAGTTCTGTTTTCGTATTTTGTAATTCCAGATATATGTGGCGCGAGGACGCACCAATTGCAGGATGGCCGTGTTAGAGGTGTGCCTTTGCTACCCACCACACATTCTTGAAGTTCATACACATGCGTGTTAGGATGGATGAGCGGGAGAAGGCAGACCAGCGCAGTGGGCCGTACGCGAATGGGGATGATACATCCCTTTTGTTTATATACAGGGTGTTTCCGAACTTGGCGTCCAAATTTGTAGGGGTGGTAGTTCGAATAATTTGAGAGCGATTGGCAGATTTCATTTTTCTAAAAAAAATATAATAAACAAAATAGAGCTATTATAAAAAAATCAAAAAGCGGGTCCTACCCTGAGCGCATAGCACAATAGTCGCCTGATCGGTTACTCAAAAACAGATACGATTTGCAAATTTCTCCCTCCGGCCGGTATCGAAAGACGTAGACGATTGTTTTTCTAGTGCGTATTGCTTTGTAGGGTTGTTTACCTCGGGTTCAGAGAATTTTATTTAGCGCGCGCGAGTCGAGGTTATCCCATCGCTGTGCAGGACCGTACCTGTTTAAAATTTTTAATTATTTTTATTTTAAATATTTTGGAAAAATGAAATCCGCGAATCGGTCTCAAATTATGCGAACTACCATCCCTACAAATTTGGACGCCAAGTTCGGAAACATCCTGTATATTCATTGCCAACGAAAATACTGAAAAATTTAAATTACTTTTCTCCAATTTTTCCATTACGGTCCATTTTAGAGATCGATATTGCAAACAACTTTTGGTTTAACAATTTTCTTAAAATCAGAATTTTGCACATTTTGTCAAATTTCTCGATTACGGTCCATTTTAGGAAAATTTTGTATAAAACAAAAATTATAGAGAATATTAGAAGTAACTGCTTTTATTTGAAGAATTTTCTTCTCCAAACGTAAATAACAGATATATTTCATAAAATTACCCCCTAGATGTTCCGACTCTGCCCAAAATCTAATCTGTTCACATCAAGGTTTTCTTTGTATCCTTTCATAAGTAATCGTGGGTACAGACATACACATAAAGACATCATCGCGAAAATAGCCAAAACGGGTCAGGGGACCCCAATATGTAAAAATCCGTCGAAAACTCGAGATCGAAAAAATTTATGATTTCTCTACTTTCCTTATCTGTATAGAGATAGGAAAGTAAAAAACAATACTGTTTATTATTTTTATCTTCTTTCTCCCCAAAAAACTGCCTTGGTACGGCCCCGATTGCTTCAATATACTAACGGTAAAATATCAAAATTACCACGCCTAAAAAATAGCAACAAAGTATAATCATAGTATTTAAAATTAAAACGGAAAAATAGATTTGAATATTCATAAAAATAAAATGGACATCCCGTATAAACTGTCACCTTGATTTGAATTCATTACATTATTTTACAATTTCGATATATTTTTGCAAAAACTGTTTTATAATAATTTTTTAATCAAGTCGTCTATGATTTTCGAATATCCAAGACGCGCAGGACCAGTCAAAAAATTACTTACATATAATTAAAAGATGGTGATGGTAAATTGAGAGTATGGACTTTATTTAATCAACAGATTTAAAAAAAAAAAACAATTTTCGAAACCTATTAATTGTAGGTTTTCAAAAAAAAGTGTTATTTGAAAAGATATGCCAATATTGTTGAATAAAATGGTCACAGCTTATATAAGAAGACAGCTGTTAACTAAATTGATCAAATATATAAGACTCGAATCTACCACAGCCAAAGGTATTTATTTATGGTCAAAAATATGCCATTGTTAATGCAACATGTAGGCGGAATACATGTTATGTCATAGTGACACATTAGCAATCTCATGGAGACTATCTAAACTAATTTTGTCAGTCTTGTTGAATAAAACTTTAATCGATTTTAATTCTTTTACGTTTTTGCACAAACTACAAATATCTAAAGTAATATTACAAAATCTATACTTACTGTTTGGTTTTTCATTTATTTACAATTATACTCACTAAAACACTAACTAAATTTATTTATACTTAAAACTAAGCTGGTTTATATTTCAAACACTTATACTAATTTATATTAACAATAGTTATTTTTTCTACTCGGATATTTATCTTCAACTTAACTTCTATCGGCATAGTCGTGATGTTTAAGTGAAAAATAGGCATACCGGACTTGTCCCAAAATCTCTAGACGTTCTTGAAACTCTCCCTCTATCAAGTGCAAAAGAACTTTCCAAGTAACTTCTCGTAGGAATCTGTTTATCTTGATCGACCAGCGGCGAAAACGTAACAAAGATCAGTACCGAACTGGTTGAAAATGGCTCGCACAACATTACTTTTTAAGCACTATGATTGATCTGAAGACTAAACGACAGCAGGTGGATTCCAATAATAAAAATGAAGACCAAAAATGTATTAAAGATTGTGGTTGAAATTAAATTTGATACTAAAATTAAGTGTATTTTTATTGTCTTTAAACAATACATATTAGATGCCAAATTTTTGGTGCTATTCTTATAATGTATAAAAAACAGTAAATAGGAGTTACTGAAATTACTAAAATATTTCAGTAGGCTAACTACTTACCAAAAATATTTTCAGATTATATCACAATTAGTATACCAATACTGCTAGTGCATACAAATAATAATGATGATAATAATAATTAAGGGATGTGTGGTCCAATGATTACAAAATTTAACTCGTTATCGTGAGGTACAGAAAACGTCCTAAAACGGCGCTGGGAAACAGTATAAAACCTACACAGAACACGAGACTAATAACCTTCATAATTAGACTGAACAGTTCACATTATTCACCATTATTATTAATAGTTACCAATTAAAAAAATAGAGAGCCGTTATTTGTATTTAATCAGTCAAAAATTTTTTTGTTCTTTATCATTTTCTTAATCCATTACTTGAACTCTCTTTCATGTATAAAAAGACTCTTAAATTCATTTCCTCAATTTTAAATTTATTTCTCTTAACTCTCGCAAAGGCAAACCATTGAAAAGGACCCCGCAATAATCTTATGGAAATTGGGTTTCTGTCTAATTGTTTGAATATTTTGATATGTTGTAGATTTTGTCATCCTGAACAAAAGTCTCCATGGGCACAAAGTGCCAAAATGAATATTTTGGCAGCTACGGAGCTGCCAAAGCTCCCCTGACCCGTTGCAAAACTATTAATTTTCAATACTCTTTACAGATGTCAAAAGCATATTTTAATTATTCTAATGTATAGGGTAATGTTTTTGAGGTCACTGGATTCAATTCTCATGTCAGATTGGACAAATAGAGGACTTCTATACAAGGGAAGTGCAACCAACTTGACAAAATAAAATTGACACTAATGACATAAGAAATCGGGTCACATAAAGAGGCTGTTTTTTAGTTTGATTTTTGGTTTTTCCTATCTACTTTCATGCCATTTGCATACCTTGTTGTACCCGTAACGTGAAAAAGACTTTTTATTTTAGGGTATTTTACATTTAAAGGTTGAAAACATTTGTCAATATCAGCTGTCGATAATGTCAAAACATAAGCGTAGTATTGCATTTTATTTTTTGTTGTTATTAGTCTAATTGTTTCAACTGCTTTCTTGAAACATTATTTTTCATTTGGTTTTATTTATTTATGTCGATTGCAAAATGCTGCTGCTACGAATACAAGTTCTATAAAATATACAACCAACATACAATACTAGTTACGTTATGCCCATCTATGGTTACGCCTGTGTTCTATCATCAGCATAATTGACAGCTGGCAATGACAAAATATTTCAACCTTTAAATGTAAAATACCCTAAACTAAAAAGTCTTTTTCACGTTACGGGTACAACAAGGTATGCAAATGGCATGAAAGTAGATAGGAAAAACCAAAAATCAAACTAAAAAACAGTCTCTTTATGTGACCCGATTTCTTATGTCATTAGTGTCAATTTTATTTTGTCAAGTTGGTTGCCCTTCCCTTGTATAGAAGTCCTCTATTGACCGTTGACAGCTGTCAACGAGGAATATAAAAGTAAGTATCCTCTTTTCACATCGAGAGTTTGGGTTTTTGAGGTCGCTGAATGCAATTCTCATGTCAGATTGGACAAATTGACAGTTAACAGATGTCAATTGACTGTCAACGAGGAATATAAAAGTAAATATCCTCTTTTCACATTGAGAGTTTGGGTTTTTGAGGTCGCTGAATTCAATTCTCATGTCAGATTGGACCAATTGACCGTTGACAGCTGTCAATTCACGTTCAACGAGGAATATAAAAGTAAATATCCTCTTTTCACATTGAGAGTTTATGTTGGCCAACTCGCTAAATTCAATTCTTTTTAGAATTGGAGAAAATGGTAGTTGACAAACTCTCAATAACAAAAGAGAATATTTTCTTCTTTATTCTACTTTGACAGTGAATTGACAGCTGTCAACTGTCAATTTGTCCAATCTGACATGAGAATTGAATTCAGCGACCTCAAAACCCAAACTCTCAATGTGAAAAGAGGATATTTACTTTTATATTCCTCGTTGACAGTGAATTGACAGCTGTCAACGGTCAATTTGTCCAATCTGACATGAGAATTGAATCCAGTGACCTCAAAAACATTACCCTATATATTAGAATAATTAAAATATGCTTTTGACATCTGTAAATAGTATTGAAAATGAATAGTTTTGCAACGAGTCAGGGGAGCTTTGGCAGCTCCGTAGCTGCCAAAATATTCATTTTGGTACTTTGTGCCCATGGAGACTTTTGTTCAGGATGACAAAATCTATAACATATCAAAAATTCAGACAATTTGACAGAAACCCAATTTCCATAAGATTATTTCGGGGTCCTTTGCCTAGAGCGATCCTCTCTGCCGTTCTGCTTCGGCGTAAAACTGTAGGGCCCATGCCTGTTTACCCTCAACAACGACGACTCATCCACATACAGATCTATCGCCAATACCCAAGGAATGTTGTCGACATCTACATCATGAAGTCTGCATACCCTTGGAGTAAACTCAATCTCAGATCGAAACCTCACCCCGTAATCATTATTATCATTATTTTTTCTGTAAATATTACAAATAAAATAATCATTTCTCGTCATCCTCATCCCTGCGCGCGACCTGCAAAAAAATATCTTCCAAAGTCGCTTCGCTGATCGCATAATCCTCAATCAATTCAGGATTACTAGCTTTTATCATTTCGACCTCTTTGAAAATTCTGCTCCAGCATTTATCTCGTTCCTTGATCCATAAATGCAGAAGACCCTAAATACAAAAAATATATTTTTATATACACGTCGACTCAATAACTATTTTAAGTCGACATGCGGCCTGACGGAAAACTAAACGATGATTTTTAAGTTGACCTGTGGTCGGACGGGAGACTAAACGACGATTTTTAAGTAGACGTGTGGTCGGACGGAAGACTAAACGACGATTTTTAAGTTGACCTTTGGTCGGACGGGAAACTAAACGATGATTTTTAGGTATACCTGTAGTACCTGAGTTTGTGAATGTAACTGTATATATTTGTAAATATCTGAATAAACGTTTTAAAAGTAAAAGTAAGTCGGACGGAACTACATTTTTTAAGGAAAATTAATTAGAAAAAATTTCATTCATAACTGTAAAATAATTTCAATTACCCTAACCAAAACACAGCAAAACTGTCTAATATCAGGGGATAAGGAGTAGACAAAACAATTTTAGAAAGTACCATTCATGCATTGAGGGCAAAACCCGGTAGGATCTACCAGGGACCTCTTCGCCGCCTTAGATTTTATACGAGGAAGCAATGCAATTCATGAATTATAGTATATGAATATATTTTTAAAAAATGATTCTGAATTGAATGATCGGACGGAAGACTAAACCATGATTTTTAAGTTGACCTGCGGTCGGACGGAAGACTAAACGATGATTTTTAAGTAGACCTGTGGTCGGACGGAAGACTCAACGATGATTTTTAAGTATACCTGCGGTCGGACGGAAGACTAAATGAAGATTTTTAAGTTGACCTGCGGTCAGGCGGAAGACTCAATGATTTTTAGTCTCCATGCAGACGTACGGAAGAGGTTTTTAAGACTATTCGACTGGTTTATGACCAAAGAAATAATGTCTAAAAGTCGTTTTGTAACCAATCGATGATTATGGATTAATGTGGAATGTGGATTAATTAATTTAAGCAAATTTAAACTGGCCTAAGTTGTTTTATAAACAAATGAAAAACGACATTTTAAAAGGACTTGTAAAAAAGTACCAAAGAGCATGGAGAACAAACCAAAATGAAGACTAACATTTTATGTTGAAAGGAAGCTCTCCATTGTATTTTAGTCGTTTTTATTCCATCCTTTGGTAGACTAAACGTATTTAAATTCAGATTCTATTAAAATATTATTTCGATTCTCAGATTCTACATACACTTACGAATTAATAACCGTACTCACCGCATGTTCATCTCTAACTTCCCCGCGACCATTTTTGGTAAAATGATCTTTTATTTCTTCTACAGTATTAAATTTGTCCTGCGACGTATAATTTCCATCGATTTCATCTACGCCCTCTTGATCTACATCATCTTCGGTGCTTTTATTACGCAATTTCAATTTCAGCGAAAATCCTACGTGCTCGCTTTTCAACTTGGCCAAACTTCCCTCGGTGACGAATTTTCCGGCCTTCATAACTTTTAAACTGAAAGTTAAATTTACTATATAGGGTGTACTAGACTAATTTGACCAGGCTAAATCTTCTAGACTATTAGAGATATATACGAACACAAACATTATAATGGGAAAATAATAAGATTTAATTTAGTGATTAAAATAATGTAAATTACATTTTGTGTAGCCCTCAATATCTCTAAAGGTCTAGAAGATAGTCTGTTAAAATTGGTTTGCTATAGATCGACAGCTGACCTTTTATTCTAGCTTTTGTTGATCACTCTTTCTTCACGTCCACGGCATAGCCAATATGATGACCCTTTACATTAGCTTGGCTTACTATCAGGTCTCGTATATTGCTGTTACACCAGAGCGACTAGCCACTCATTTAAGTTACACCCGTACACCGTCCAGCTTCAAATGTCTAAAACTTTCATCCACAACAAGTGTTTCCTGATTTTCCAAATATCCAATACTTCAAAACTCACATTATTCAGCTATCTCTACTGTCGCAGAGGACGTCCGCGGTATATAATACTAAATTTTTAACTTCGCGAACGTCATTCCAAACATGGCGGAAGCTTGAACAATATTTTTAAGTCTCCTGTGGTCGGACGGAAGCCTGAACAGTTTTAAAGTCGCCTGTTAGTCATCGTGTGGTCGGACGGACGACTGAACGGTTTCTTAAGTCGCCTGTGGAACATCTTATGGTCGGACGGAAGCCTGAACGGATTTTAAAGTCGCCTGTTGGATATCCTGGGGTCAAACGGAAGCCTAAACGACATTTTTAAGTTATGCCGTAGAAATACCGTAGAGCACATTCCAAGAACGCACGCAAAAACGATTCTGTCTACGTACTTTTGAATTTTTTAAAGAAGTGAAAATGGCATTTAAAAAGTACAAAATAAAGTTACCAAGAGCGGATACTTACTAGTTACATAACGCTTCGCATTCGGTCATACTGTGCGACGTCAATATGAACGACACATCTTTCTTGTCCTGCATAAATTTGATGAGTTCCCAGCATTTCCTGCGCGACGATGGATCGACACCGTTAGTCGGTTCGTCTAGCAAGACGAACTTCCGGAATCCTATCAGAGAAATCGCTAAGCTCAATTTTCTCTTGTTGCCGCCGCTGTAATGGCCGCAAGGTACATTCGCGTATTTGGTCAAATCTAAAACGTCGAATCGAAATAATTATAATCGATTGATTTCGGAGAAAAATAAACTACTTACCAAACATTTTGAGAAACTTTTCGACTGCATCATCTACATCACTTACGCCTCTCAGTTTGGCTATCATGGTTAGAATTTCCCTCCCTGTTAGTACAAAATTTAAGAAATCGGCCTGTGGACAATAACCCAATCTTTCCATGTACTACAACAAAATCATAATATCTATAATAGTCCAATCATTATGTGATATGTCCACTCACCTCATGGTCCCCTATATCGATAGCCTTATCCTTATGTTTAATTTTAATTTCAATATTGCCACCGTCATACACTTCTTCTTTAGTCAGCATGCGGAAGGTGGTTGTCTTCCCAGCACCGTTGACCCCCAAAATGCCCAAACACTGACCCCCGTTCAACGTAAGATTTATATCTTTAACAATATCTTTTCCGCGGTATCTCTTTTTTAACCCGTTCGCCTCCAAACTGTCATCAGCGCTTTTGTTGTTGTTTTTTGGATTCCTACGTCTTCTGAGCATTTTAACCACACCTCCCACCCCCGCACATACTTCCATGAAAAAATAAGTATCCAGTATCAAATTTAGTGACATGTAAAAAACAAAACACAACAACATAAGGTAGTGTTCTTCTAAAACGCCGGCGTAATTTTTAAAATCGTTACATAGTTGCGAATTTGCTGAAAAAAAAAACGGTATAAAGTAGATTCACCAGTGCTTTTTTTAAGAGTAAAGACACGTCAACCCCGCAGATGATGTTGGATATTACTGCATGTTGGACACGTTAAAATTTTTATTAATATTCCGTTCTACTAAAAAGCATCGTTTAGTCTTCAGTCCGACTAAAAGTTGCTGTTAAAGCCACTTTACAGAATCGTTTAGTCTTCGGTCCGACTAAATGTTTGTGTTAAAGCGATTTAAAAGCATAGTTTAGTCTTCAGTCCGACTAAATGTTGCTTTTAAAGCATCGTTTAGTCTTCGGTCCGACTAAATGTTGCAATTAGACTTAAAACCATAGTTCAGTGTTCAGCCCGACTAAACAAAACCTATTGAAGACACTTTAATACAACGTTTAGTGTTCCGCCTGACTAAATCATGTAGATTCTTAGCCGCGAATGATCTTAAAAAGGAACTATGTCTGAACTCTCGATAAAGAAGAAGTGCCAAGTTACCGTATAAAAACTTGTAATCTTACCTACGCAACAGGCATGATCTGACCCAGCGCACCTCGCCACCAACTTCATGGGCATTACGTCGTTGTTATAAATGGCGACTGATCTTCTAGCGAAATTGACAAGTGCGTCGGATAGTCCGACTTGGGGTATGAAGAGGAAGCATGTCCATTTTATACCGGTTCCGATTTTTATGTAGAAATCGTCTTGGGATTCTAGTAAAATATTGATAATTATGGTTAAAATGATTCCCGAAAACAAGCCCATGATGATGAATAGCGAGAAAGCACTCGACACTGTTTTTTTGCGACTAAACAGATACGCAAACGGTATCCCAGCGCATCCATACAGGATGAATATCAGAAATAGCTTGCCTGAAAATAAACAACGTGAAAATTAGGTTTGTTCTACACAAAGATAATAAATAATACGTACCGAATCCTACGGGGGTATACTTGAAAGGCAATATTCCCCACAAGAACAAAGTCATCGCACCCATCAAAATGGCGTAGAATATAAAATCGGCCGCGAACGTAACGACCCAGTAGGTGATCGGTTTCACGCCGCACATGTACTGCATCCTGACAAACTTGGTAGATATCTCGGCAAACGGGAATATTATGAAACTTCCATGTATAAACAAACAACCAATCGGTATCATAATGAGCCACAAAATGGCGACCTTGGCTTCCGACAATTCCTGCCGCGAAACGTTTTCCTTGAGTGAGGGTAACGGCCAATTGGTGATCGATATCGAAGCATCAGGACCTAGCAACGTTTTCGCCAACGAATCCGTAATCATATTGATAGATATCGGTAAGCTGTGTAAAGCCATCGCGTTATATAAGGCAACGAAGGTGTTATCAGAAATAAAACTGGCGCCGACCACCATGTGTTCCTTGTAGTATGCAATGTTCTCTGTGCTCTTCTTCAAAATCGCTGAAAATTAAAATACCGTCAACCCTTACCGGACTTAAAATATATTTCGTACACACCTTGTTCGACGTCTTCTACGTGAATTGGCAAACTGCGCTCTGCTACCGTTCGATTCTTGTAGAACCTCATCATATTGTTCGCGGCTTCGTTGCCGCGTGTTCCGTTGTAAAACACCGACGTTTGTCGGTAAGCACTCAACGTCAATTTCAGTTCAGGTTCCATACCGGTGGCGTTATCGCCGGGCCTGCTCATGTAGGCAGCCAAACAGAAGAATACCAAAGCTACGAGAATCTGTAAGCAAATCGGTTTAGTTTAAAAAATTCTCGATTAGATTCGAAACTTACAGGAATGAGATAAGCCTTCCATTTCTTCATATAAAATTGCCATTTCTTTTGCAGCAAAGTCATAAATGTTTTGACTTTAAGAACCTCCTCGTTACTAACTAAAATGATCGGAATATTCGATTTAACTTATAATAAAACTATACATATTAGTCTGACAATAAACCCAAAACAAAATATACAAGTGCACTAATTTACAAGTATAACAAAAAAGTGTTACGAAAGCATAAAGCATCCAATTTACAGCAAAATCTGTAGTAAATAAAGGCTTAAAAAGCCAATATTGGCTTAAAGAAAAAAGTACAAACAAAAATTTAAACCACATGCAAACCATCTCATGCCTCCCATTGATAAATATTTGCACGCATTCGATTAGACCATGCAAAATTATAATAGCCAAGGAAATAACATCCTACCTAAGCTGTAGTCAAAAGTACACAATAACTTAGGTAGAATCAATGTATTTATAGTTTAGGCTAAGGATCTGGAAAAGCTTTAAATATTTCGGAAGCCAAATACAATTCTATGAATATTTCTTGAAACAACAACAACACAACAAAGCGTACCGACCAATCAGCTGGTCAAGCCTAGCGAGGTAAAATCAGCAATTGATCGTTTAAACAAAAGGAAAGCACCAATACCAGATCAAATTACGGGCTTAATGCTCAAAAATATAACACGGAAGACTATAGTACAACTGCATTATATTATTAACGAGATACTAAAAACACCACCACCAAGCTTAAAATAGCTAATATTATTCCAATTCATAAAAAGGGAAAAAGCGTAAAGAATATAGAGAGTTATCGTCCCATAACCCTTCTTAATACACTAACTAAAACAATAGACATCTTTAATTCTCAACAAAACTACACGTAATTGAACAGGACAAACAAATAATCCCACAGGAACAGTACGGATTTCGCGAAGGACATGGCACTATTGCCCAAGTGATAAGAATAGCTCATTAAGCTAAAGAAGCATGCTGAAGTTCTTTGCTGCTTCGATGGACGGACCCCGAGTAATTCACGAATTTGCACAGTTTAGCCATAAACTATACGGACAACCGGACAAATACAAGGACAACCCTGTTTTTTCTCAAGCTTTTTCAGGGAAACTAAACACAACTAACAAAAGACACATCTTCCATGAGTTAAGTTCAATTACCGACGCACACAAAGTAATCAAAACTGCCATATATTATTTATAATAAGGAGATGGCACCTTAAATCCACATGTTATAAACGTCTTGCATACGTGATTGCGGGTACGAGACGACGCCCATACTTGTTCAGTCCACGGCCGGAGAATCGTGGCAAAGATTTCGACGAAACACCTGTTATGTAGATGTAAATTTTCCTTTATATATAACATTGTAAATAAATAGCCTTATAATCAAATTTATAGCTTTAGCGAGAAATATTTGTACGTTTAGACTTCCGTCCGACTAAATGTTGCAGTTAAACCCACATAAGAGCATCGTTTAGTCTTCGGTCCGACCAAATTTTGCAATCAAAGCGACTTAAAGGCAACGTTTAGTCTTCGGTCCGACCAAATGTTGCAGTTTAAGCTAATTAATGCGTCGTTTAGTCTTCGGGCCGACTAAATTTTGCAGTTAAAGCGACTTGAAAGCGTCGTTTAGTCTTCCGTCCGACTAAATGTTGCAGTTAAAGTGATTTAAAGGCATCTTTAAACACCGGTTCGTCCGTTTCATAGCTCTAGCGAGAAAGATTTGTAAGGTTCCACGAATTAAAAAAAATAGAGTTGGTTATGTTCCATTCCTGCTAAGAGTTTGGAACCTTCTGAACATTATGGAGACCTAAACCTTTTAAAGATTGTCGAGTTCAGGAAAGCTTCTAAAAATGGTTGGAACGAAAAAACTTCTAGTGGAAATTTTAAACAAGCAATCAGAGTTAATGATTATACTACAGTGAAGGTTTTTTGTTAGTACACGTAACAAATTATACAAAAATGTTAGTAGTGATACCGGGATTAAAAGAAAAGAAAATTCTACAAATGAGAAGATACAGAGTGCTACATTTATAAAAAAGATTTTTACCTGACGTTTTAAGATCCAGCAATGCTAGAAAAACAAACAAAATTTAAACAATACAAAACATCGTTTATAAAACAATATAAACAATACAAAACATTTTTTTAAACAATACCAAACATCGTTTTTAAGCTCTTGATTTTTTTAAAGCACAAACATGTAATAGACATACCTTGCGTGTCGAGAGATGTCGTATCAGTCTCATCCGCAGACTCTGTTCTTGTTCTAGAGAAAAACAATATTTTCATCGATTATTTTCGATTATTCAATTAATCGATTATTTTTAATGATTCGATTATTTTCGCTTAATCGATTATTTTCGATTAATAGATTAATCGAGAGATCGATTAATAGATTAATCGAGAGATCGATTATTTGCCATGTATCAGTTTTCAATAATCAATTATTTAGAAAAAAGTTGTTACCCACATTTTTTTATTAGTTAAAAAATCTATTTTTCGTGGCAATTAAAAGCAAATAATGCGAATTATTATCACTTTAAATTGGCATTCTGTTCTTTTTATCAAATTTATCGAAAAGTATATTTACACCCGATACGTATATTACTTACTTCAAAAATACATCTTCTAACGTTGTTACTGTCACCGAGATGTTCTCGATTTTTAAGCCGGCTTTGTTGTTCTCCAAATATTCCAACAAGTTAGTCATCTTTTTAGCAATGTTGAGCGGTAAAACGAAAACGATATTATTGCCGTCGAAGGATTTTTGCGTGGCATCGGGTATGTATTTGGTCACTTCTGAATTTATTTTCTGCATGGTTTCTGTTCTGTCTCCTGAATCGTTAATCATCAACGACAAATGATAGCCAGTCTCTGAAATTACGTGTAAATTACACAATTAGCTTTGACTTACCATAAATTTACAACAAAGAATCGTTGTTAGTTATATCTAATTAATTAATGACAGAAAGACTGGCCTTCTATGTCGCCCAAACCGAAAAACCAATAACATTACAACAAAGACACACATACTTAATACGAAACCTCACAACCGAATATATCTCCCAAAACCCCACCCAGGAACGGTAAGGAAAATGGTAAAAATGTTGAATCTTTGATGGATAAATCTAAAAGTATATTTTGTCGAATTTAAAATTTAATCAACGGAAAATAAATCAGATATGGCGGGAATGTAAAAATGTAATACCGTATTTCTTTTTTAAATACATCGGAGTCCCGTAACACTGCAATGCTCCGTTCGCCATGATGGCTATCCAATCTCCGAGCGCGTCCGCTTCTTCCATAAAATGCGTGGTAATTAATATAGTTTTTTCGCCCCTCCATTTTAGCAGTATATCCCAAAGACTCCGTCTGGATTCTGGATCCATACCAGATGACGGTTCGTCCAGAATAAGGACCTTAAATGAAAGTATGCTGTGCTTTTAAGTTAGTCTAGTACAGTGCAGTAGAGTTTAACACATCTTTCAATTGGTAAATCCTTATCTGGGATAGTAATTTTCAATGTTAAGAGAAATATTTCAAAAAAAATACGCAAAACTGAATAAACAGTAAATAATGTTTGTATACTCACTTTGGATCCGCCCACAAGCGCCATTCCTAAACACAACTTCCTCTGCATTCCTCCTGACAGCGTGTTCGCCATTGAATCTTTTTTGTCTGCCAGGTTCATTTTTTCCAATAAATCGTCAGATTCTTTGTCCGCCTCACAAGCTGTCTTTCCTTTCAACTGTAAAAAAATAACAGTAAAAACACAAAGAGCAGAAAAGTACAGTCATTAAATGTTATTTTGACAATTCTGCTTTATTTTAAAGCTCATTACTAGTTTAAGGCACCTTAATTTCTCTATTTAGTCGGACTGAAGACTAAACGATTATTTTATGTCGGACCGAAGACTGAACTATTATTATAAGTCGGACCGAAGACTGAATGATTTTTTTAAGTCGGACCGAAGACTGAACAATTATTTTATTGATGGGCATTCTTCAGTCAAACAGAAATGTCACAGTAACAATGAAAGCTACCTTGGCGAAAAATATAAGATGCTCTTTAACAGTCAGATCAGTAAAAAGTAAGTTGTGTTGCGGGCAAAGTCCTAAACTTTGACGGATTTCATCCATGTTGCATCTTATATCCATATTATTTATTCTGATCGATCCAGAAGTTGCCTCGATCATTCCTAAAATATATCATATATAGTTTTATTCGATTTTTATTAAAAGAAAAAAATCCTACCTGTAATCATCGACATGGTCGTCGATTTCCCGGCACCGTTGTGGCCCAACAAGACAGTAATTTGATTCCTGTAAATATCCAGATTCAAATTGTCGACCGCCATCTTGGTACCGTACCTCCTACCGAGATTTACGATTTCGATACCTTTCTTCAAACCGTGTCCCTCTTCTACGTTCTTCAAAAAATCCATTTCGCTACTGACTTTTACGTCAGTCGAATTCGGTCGTACTAAAAGCTATACAAAGACAATTGATTAAACAAAAAAAATAACAAAGAAACAGATGATTCAGAATCCTGGATACTTCCTAAATATCGTAATATAATCAAACTAGATTCCTTAAATAAACTTTATAGTACAGAAATGGCAGCAAAATACTTAGTCAATAGTCGGATGCAAGTCTAAACTATGTTCTTAAGTCGCTTAAACGGCTTGCATTGGTCGAACGGAAGACTAAACGATATTCTTAAGTCGCTTAAAAAGCACTGCATTAGTCGGACGGAGGACTAAACTAAGTTCTTAAGTCGCTTAAAGGCCTTGCTAAGGAAGGCTAAGCTAAGTAAGCAAAAATAGTATTGAGAGAAACATTACGATTCTTAGAAAATATCCTAGATGACATTTTTAACAAAAAAATTAGGTAAAGCTGTAGAAACATAAACAGAGCGGGATGGGATGGTAACAAGAAAAGGAAAAATTAAGAAATAACTACTAAACTTTTTTGGCAAAAGATGTAAAATCTGACGCTGTAAAAGATCAAATAATTAAAAATTAAAAGTAAATTAAAAACTTAATATAAAATATTTCATTTTTGTTACAATAATTATAGAATTTCTCTATAATCTAAGAATTATAGATATATCCAGTCACTCTAGTCACAATATATCATTTTTGTCGTGAACTACACTAATTACAGCCTTTTCCATGCACCACAATTCAACCATTTGACATCAACACATGATTCCAACATTCATTTTAATTACAACATGTACCATGTCAAAAATAAAGAAACCTACTACTCTGAACCGATAATGTGAAATAAAATTATAATAGGTAACACCATTTTGACCGATTTCTTTTCCTTCCTTCATTTAGATTCTTTTTTTTTTAATTTAACATTTATTTAGACCAATTTAATTAATCCTAGGCCTAAAGAGTGTTTAAAGTCGATTTTAGTCGGACGGAAAACTAAACGGTTTTAAGTCGATTTTAGTCGGACCGAGAACTAAACGGTTTTAAGTCGCTTTTGGTCGGACCGAGGACTAAACGTTTTTTTAATCGCTTTAAATCGGGCCGACGACTAAACGGTGTGTTAAGTCGCTTTTGGTCGGACGAAAGACTAAATGTTTTAGAATCGATTTAATTTGATTTCTTGGAGGATTTTTAATGAAAATTAGTGGCACACGACTCAGAATAGTACTTTCTTTAGGATAGATTTTCTAATGACAAATTTCTTACCTTCTTCAATTCGATAAACGGGAAAAGAAAGGATTTTCTTACTCCGTATTTACCGGGATTAACACCGTCCATATAAAACGTAAACAGTATGAATAAAAATGTATCAAAAATAAGCATAACATACACATTTAACATAGTAATGTCATCAGCACTACCACTACCGGATTTGTAAAAGTTATTCCATCTCACTCCGATTTCTATAAAAACAATACATATCGTTAAAAAAATTCTCATACATTATTTAAAGAAAAAATACCTCGTTCCTCGAAAGTTGCTACGGCAGAATATCCATAATGTAGCGCCATATTTGGCAAAAGGTTCAATAAAGCGTTTGAAAACCAAGGCAACTGATTGGATTCATCCAAACCCAAGGAATATTTCGGGACGAAATACGTTAGTATCCAAACTAAGATTCCAGTAACCACAGCAATGGTAGCTAAAAAAAACAAGTTAATCGTCATTATTTACATTATTAGATGCATGATTTAAAATTGTAAATATGTGATTTGGTACTTACGTTTGCTGAAGAATGAACTAATAGCGAAGCAAAATGAAATAGATGCGGTACAATACAATATTAAGAAGCAGAACAGTATGCCACCATCTGAATGTTCAATCAGAGGGTAATCAGTTCCGAAGAACGGAATTTTCATCAAGAAAACTATGCATATTACTGCTATAAAGATCGGTATAATACCGTAGATCAACCAACCCAACCACAGCATCCAGGATTTCATTCCAACCATTTTCATTAATTCCTAAAATGTTATAATATCAATAATAACAATCAAAAACTACTTGAACGACGACTTACCTTGGTGCCGGAATGTTTCTCTTCTACCACCCTCTTCAACACAGCTGGACATATAAATATGAAACTAAATAAAGTGATTAACGGTAATAACTCTAAAAATAAAGTGGTTAAATACGAGTCGCGTTTGTGCGGCGGATAGGGAAATTCTTGGGTCAAAACGGCCACATTCAGTTTGTCCACGTTTAAATTTTGCTCTATAAACGACAAATCCAAGGCCAGCTGAATGGATAGGAAAGCTTTACCCTGGTAAACGCCGCCTAAAAGAATTTAAAATAAAACGCTGAGAGAAAATCTAATAGTCGGACGGGAGACTAAATGGTAGTTGTAAGACGTTGCTAGCGGACGGAAGACTAAACGATAGTTTTAAGTCACTGCTAGCGGACGGAAGACTAAACAATAGTTTTAAGTCGCTTCCATTGACTAATTTTTTGCAGTACGTCAAAATCTTTCTCTTAGCCATTTAGTTTCTCAAAAATAGAAGAACGCGTATTACCTGTACGCGGTTCGAACATATAGGTGTTGCCATATTTCCTGTCTGTTGACAAAAATTCGTTATAATAGTTCGGTTCGTGATACCTGAGTCTGTAGCTCAACTTTATGGGATCTTTGTCGTCAAAGATGATCGCGGCCGTCGTGTAATTCGGATTTTTGTAATAATATTCCAGCAAATCTGCTTGGCTGCCAAACCCTAGGGATTCTAAAAAGAAAAAAAGGGCTTTTGATCTGTAGTTTTATTTTAGAAGGGGATTTTTAAGAGCTCCTTCAATTAGCCTCAGATGAGATCAAAACTTATCTAAATAACCTAATATCCTTATCATTTATTGATATATAATTATTGAGATCAAGTTCTATTGTTTATTTTTTTTTCTAAAGTTCTTTGTCTATATAATTTACTATTATTAAATCAGAATGAAAATAGTATTTTCATGTGATCTTAATGACATTATTTTGCTAGACATAAGACTTTGAAGTTTTTTTTTTTTATTTTACTCTGTCCTATTGTTTGTCGACCCTATTTTTACATTCCTATCTGTATACAGAAGTAAAGTATAGGAATCATGATTTTTATCGATCTCTGAGTTTTAGATGGATTTTTATGAATGGATAAAGAGAAAAAACACTAAATTTTAAATTTAAGCTGTAATCCATCTTCTAATGAGTTGATTAGATTTTGGGCATAGTCGGAACATCTGGGGAGTACTTTATAAGGAGTTGTTTTTCTATTTTATCGAATACATCTGTTATTTACGCTTAGAAAAGAAAATTCTTGAAATAAAAGTAGCTTGTGATGTCATTCTCTATAATTTTTGTCATATACATGATTTTTCCTAAAAATGGCGCGTTTTCGAAAATTATTCAAATTAAAATGTCATTCTCTATAATTTTTGTCCTACATATAAATTGTATTAATGAATATCTCTAAAATTTATGATTGGAGAATAAAATTCTTCAAATAAAAATTATTTGTTATAATATTCTCTGTAATTTTTGTTCTATACATGATTTCTCTAAAATGGACTGTAATGAAAAAATTTGAGGAAAAGTGTAAAATTTTTATTTTTCAGTATTATCATTGGAAATGGATATACTATATAAAAAAAAGTTGCGAAAAAGATGTGTGTGGAAAATGTTTATATTTAGTTCATTCTCTAAATATTTACAGGTTGTACAAAATAATGGAAAAAATCCTATAATATCTAGGCATGAAAGTCATGTGTTTAAACACTTAATATTTTTTAAAAATTTCAGTTATTTTGTACATTTTAATAAAGATTTGCGCCATTTAAACGATCCTATAAAAGAAAGACAACTGTAAACTACAAGAATTGTTCAAAAACTTACGGTCACTAGGCAAAGACAATTTAATGTGAATTCTACTGATGATATCCTCGATATAATCATTTCTTGGTGTATACAACAAATAAGTGTTCCCAACATCTATGTCATAACGTATCCCTTCAATGTCACTGTATGTAGGGTCACTAACGATTGTTTTACTCAAGCCAGTGATTTTGCTTCTACCGTAGGCTATGAGGAAGTAGAACGTGATGGGTAAAAGAGCCTCAAGGCCAGTGAGAAACCAATGGCGTTTTCTTATAATAAAATTCTTCCATATTACGACTTTCAATTGTTGCCACGACATAGCTCTACAAATACAAGTACAAAAATGAATCAAGAGTCTTTATTGTTTATTTTTATGATTAATTTTATCAATACACATTTATGAAATGTTTCAAAATAAATATTATCTTTTGAATTTGTATGTACTTTACTTCATGATTGCTTAACTCATTATAAACCCTACCTATAAATTAGAGAGAAATAATATTATTACTAATTGACTTTTGTGAAAATTCAGAATTTTTTTAAGTATAATTTTTAGTCATATATGGCTAATTTACTTGTGTTACCCATTCAATAAATAATGCTTTTAAAACTAAACATTAGCATGCTTAAAATTGGAAACGAAAACTTTATGATTGTAAGTAAAAAGTTAACTGAATTAAGAGTTTTAAATGTTGCATTGGAGGGTAACCAAAGAAATATAACTGAGCAGTTTACTCTATTAAAAAATAAGTACATTAAGCTGATGACAGATATTGAAAACTTAGTAAGACAATATAATGTACCTAAATCAATTAAAGTTTTCAAATAAGAGTTTTAAAAGAGACAATATTGAACCAAGAAACAGAAAAAAGATTTTAATACTATCAGATGAAAATAAAAATGGTTTGGACAGGGAATTAAGAAAGTGCTTTTATCGAAAAAGAAATGTTTTACTGTACTTTTATATGGAATTACTATTTTTGTATATATAATTGCTGGAATGGCAAAGGGTCATAAGTTGACAAATGCCAAATTTGACTTAAGACAAATCTGTTAAAGAAGATATCTATGATGTGACATAATCTCTCTCCTTATAGTTAAAATAATATGACAAATAATATGTGGACTTATGAATAAGTAAAGCACTATACATCAAAAGTTTAATTGCTTCTCCTGTAAAATAGCTGACTTTTTTTCAACGATATCTACTATAAATAAATAAGTAGATTAGACAATATGTAGGTAGGTACTTGAGGATATAGTAAACCAAATAAAATAATATGCACTAATGTAATATCAAAACAAATATTTTTCATTTGTGCTTTGTATTTAATGTTATAATTTTTTACCATATAGTATAAGGAATGTTACAAACATAAAAAACTTTTTCTAAACTAAGTAAAACATTTATTTTTTTACATTATTATGAGTTTATAAAAATACTAGAGTAGGGTAGGTATAAACATACCTGTAATAGCATCATTATTTTAAGATGTATGCAATATTATTACAATTATATTATATTAAAATGAAATTATTAAACATATATTAACCAGCGCAATACAAGTGTTCACTCACTTAGGCGCTTGCTGTTTTATATTCCAGAAATTACATTATTAATAAACTTGTATGAACTTGAACAAATTGTTCTATTTTTCTTTTTTTTTTTCTTTATCTAATTTCTATATAACTGTATTTATATTTGATTTAAAAGTTAATAAAATATAAGACTTCAACCTTTGCACATTCAGCTGTCTAAACCTAAGTGCAGTACCCACATTGTAAATGAGGCAAACATTAAACTTGTTAGTGGAATAATGTCTTTAACAATACCTCTATCCCATCTGGTAAAACAATAAATTTAATAATATGGTCCTTGCTAAGTGACTTTTATAACAAATTAAGTATCAGTTTTGTAAAATAGGTCAGTGACATTCTTTTATGGTTGCTACTGAAGTTATTAATGTTATTTTTAACATTTATTTAGTCATGTGGGATAGGGGTATATACAAACACTGATAATTCACTTGAATTTGTAGTAATAAAGCCCAAGATTTTGAGATTTGAATAAAATATAAGGTGTGTAACAAATTAGTCTTTAAGTTCATTAGCTTTTTTAAATTTACCTTCTTTGAATTTATATTTGTTTGATATTTCTATTTTAGCTCATGTCAACATTTTTATCTCTCCTTATCTTATCATCCTGTTTATACCAGTGTTATATTTTATATATTGTTGATTATTTAGCTAATTTTAATTTAACACACACATAGCATATTACACTTAGACATTTAAGATCTAGATCTAACATAATTATTATATCCTAATTCTAATTTGTTTTAGAGAAAATTACAATTATGTTTATAGTTTGATGAATGAGACAATAAACAAACAAAATTTCATTAGTTTAAAAAGTTAGTTTTGTAAATATATTTGAAATGGCCAATTTACTATGTGATGTCGATGTCAGTCATGTGGAAATCAATTAAATAATAATTTATATTTCCTAGTATTGATAAAATTAGGTATGACACATGAATAACGTTTATACAAAATTTTAAATACTTACAATTAATAAATTTATTCCCGTTTTTTTTATTCTTTTGTATTTATATTCGCTTTTTTTTTGTTTTTACATTAAAAAAAAACTAAATACAGGTCATCGAAAACAACGATATTGAATTCGACAACAAACGAACAGACATTAAGTAGAAACATTAATTATCTTATCACCGTTTATCGTATCTTTATCACCATTTTTTCTTAAACTGGATTATAATATACGCAGCTAGTGTGGTGATAATCGGAACAAAAACAATAAATGTTTTAGTTTTTCTATGCAATAAATGGTAGAATTTTTCAGTTTTCAACGAAAAACGACCACATCACAACCAAATTGTCAATTGAATGAAAAGTGAAGTTTTAACGCTGTCTGCTGTCAAATTTTTATATACAACAAAGATCATCTATAACTAGACTAAAAATGTGTAGAACAGAAGTAAAAGTTGGAAATGCTTTTGCTAGTTCTCCCACTTTATACACATAAATTGACAGGTTGGCAGCGGATCTCACCGAAGTGGACGCGATACATTGGCGTACAAAATTATTTTATAGATGTTAACAACAATTTCGAGTAAATAGTTTAATAAATTGTGAATAGCTGTTGAAATTTTGTAAAATTATGAATTGAATATTATAATACATGTTTAATAATTATTTATAATCCATAAATACATGCGATTGTCCGGTTCCGCCGATAACAATTTAAAATTACTTATTCTATGAAACGACACTGGCAGGTAAACATTACTGCGAAATTCTCGGAGTCGCCCGACGTGGTTTGACGTTTACCCCCTCTCTACCTACCAAAATACTTTCCAACTTTTACTTTCTCTATGCACGGCTCGATATTGGGGTCTATTCTGTTACTCTAGTTGTTATCCAGCAACTTTCTATTTTAACCACTTGCACAGCAACTGTATATAACAACTTTGACAAAAGTAGCTATTTTAATATTCATGGTTGCTAAATTATGCCGCGTTCCCAGACAACACACCAAATCGCAGAGATATCTTTTGTGGATATCCAATATATTCACAGGATATCAGAAATATTCCGTAGATCTAATATGGATATCCAAATGTCCGTCTATATCCAGGATATAGAAGATACCCTAATGGATATTCAGCAAATTATCTAATGGGTATCTTCCAGAAAATACAAGAAATCAGAGATATCCGCAGAATATATTTTGTGGATATTCAATATATCCAATATGGATATCCAACCAAATGTCCGTCTACATCCCAGGATATAGAAGATATTCGGATATTCAGCAAAATATTTTATGGGTATCTTTAGTAAAGGTTCATAAGTAACAAAGTAACCAATGATTATTGAATAACGTCGAAAGAAAATAGCAGAGATAAAAAATATTTTCAACACTTTGCCTTTGATTTTGCCCACTAAGGAGAAAGTCATTCTTATTAGGACTCTTCAGCAATAAATGAAAATTCTCGACTCCAGTCTCTAATGGAGTGATTAGGACACACATTTCGATCGAACTCAATTACGGCGGGTCGAGCATGAGTAGATGCGATAGTAGTATCGCCATCTATACTTAGTAAGCAGAATCAAATAACATCTAGTGGATATCCATGATGGTTTGCGTTCGCGCCTAGACTTTGATATATTTAGTGGATGTTCATGGGATATTGAATACACCTTAAAAAAATTAATTTTAAATATCTGAATGGTGCTATTAGCCACAATGGCGTAATTTTTTAATAATTTGCTATATAATTACTATTATTTATGGACATTTGCATGTCTATAAATTACATTTCATGGATATAAAATAGATATCTACCATGGACTGGACATTCAGTGGATATTGGGATGTTCAGTAGATATCCAAAGGATTTGGTGTGCTGTCTGGGTTGGAGCGCTGATTACGAAAATCAGGGTTAAAACTTGCAGCAATGGTTGAACCACCCCTAAAATTACAAAAAACACCCCTAAGTAGGGGTGTTTTTCGACTGTACTTGTTGTTTTGTAAACTAACTTATCTCATATGTTCTTTGGGTCGCTGATTTCGAAAATTTTTAGTTTTTGTATTTTATATTCCATCAAAATCCACCGGTTGGGAGGGGTGTTTCTGGCATGTGGGGGATGTCATACAAATTTTCCAGTCTCTACACCCCGATTTTCGAAATGAGTGACCCAAAAAACATATGAAATGAGTTAGTTTGCAAAACAACAAGTACAGTCGGAAAACACCCCCTACTTAGGGTTTTTTTTGGAATTTTAGGGGTGGTTCAACCATTATTGCTGCAAGTTTTAACCCCCATTTTCGTAATCAGCTTCCCAAAAAAACATATAAGATGACTTAGTTCGCGGAACACCGTGACTGGTAATTTTTTCCGAAAATTCACCACTTGAGAGGGGTGTTTCTGGCATGTGGGGGATGTCACACAAATTTTCCAGTCTCGACACCCCGATTTTCGAAATCAGCGCCCCAAAAAAACATATGAGATGAGTTAGTTTGCAAAACAACAAGTACAGTCGAAAAACACTCTTATTTAGGGGTGTTTTTTGCAGTTTTAGGGGTGTTCCAACCAATGCTGCCAGTTTTTACCCACATTTTCGTAATCAACGCCCCAAAATGTGTAGGGGACAAGTGGTCTCCGTCAAGTGCGGCGTTTCTCGACCTTTTACCGTTATTTTAAATGTACTAAATCAGAAAAACTTTTCAACTTCCTTTTTGTCATCCTACTGATCTTTAGTATCGTCTAAATAATATTCTAGACATCCAGTCCCTCTCTAAATATCAGACATGCATTTTTAATCGACTTCAAAAAGGGAGAAGGTATGTTCAGCGATAATTCTTCAACACAGTGTCCGATTTCATCGATTCTTTTTTTGTTAGAAAGAAGGTACTTCAGGGGTGGTCCCATATATATTTGGTCAAAATCTAATAATTGGGTCCATGACAAAATCCTCAAACTCTTCATTTTTTATGTATGTTTAGCGATAATGCTTTACCACCTTGTCCGATTTATATGATTCTTTTTTTTTGTTAGCAAGGGGGTACCTCAGGGGTGGTCCCATATAAATTTGGTTAAGATGTGGTGATGGCATCTGCACGTTTTTGAAGTCGATTTTTTTAATTTCTAATACTTGTCATTCATAACCTATCTCTGAATAATATACACTCATCCATACAACTGACTACTTCCTATGATATCCATAGCTATAATACTCGGAATAATCGCTGCTTCAGAACCACAACCGTAAGAACATGCTTTAGTGACCGAAGCATACTATCTGATGGTCTAAGACAATACAATGAGCTTCCTAGCACTATAAAGAACATATAGAATTTTCTTAGTTGATATCTTCATGTTTAAATAGGGTTTAATAGTGTGATATTAAAGTACTGTATTTTGTTTTTTCTTAATTATTATTAGATATTTTGTAGTAGTATTGTTGTTATTATAACTAAGCAGGTACCGAATTCTTCTTCTGTGATATATTATAAAATTTGTACCTTGTAAGACCCACAGTCTTAAGCTCTGGGTCTAAATATACCAAATTGTATTCTTTTTTTATTAATAAACTTGATGGAACCTTAGTCAAGGGATGGAAGATGTCTGTTTTTTAAATGTGTGGGTTTTGAATGCATGTTACTTGAGAGCTGGGCCGGCCTGAAATTGTTGTTTAAATTGAGTGAAATTTAAACAAGTCCCACAAGGTAATTTATACATTTGCTTCTTCTATTTTCAACCGAGTTCTAATCAGTGGCGCATCCAGTTTAGTCTGGGGGGTAATGGTAATATTTAATAGAGTTTATATGGGTTTAAAAATTCTTGGGAGACGTAATTACCCCCATTATAAGCGCCCCTGGTTCTAATAAGAATAAAAACACCTATGAAATAAAATATTCATTTTAATATTAATAATAAATCAATTTCAACTAATACTTAAACATCTAGTAGTAATAATCTTATTTACAAATTCCCTAACTACAGAACTACCAAAAAATAGCTATATAATTTGGGAAAATTTCGTATCATCTTCAAACATTTTACAAATGACAGACGCTACCGAATTATAATTATTATTATAACAATAATTTAAAAATCCATTTGGTTATATCTCAAAAACTGTTAATTATGCATATTGTTCAGTCAGTTAAAATGTATTTTGACAAAGTTGACACTTTTGAGAGTTTTTTTTTTTATATTTAACATTCGAAAGGGGAATAACTGGTAGAATTAAAATAATAAATAAATAAATAAAATCTAACTTAAAAACTATATTTTTATTGTATAATTTTCAGATTCAGTCAATATGTAAATGTTGTAAAAGTAACTAGAAACAATTTTTTTTTGATCGAGAATCTACAGAAAATATAATACAACGAAAATCATGAAAATAGGTCGAGCTATTGTATTAAAATTATGGCTACAAAAAACAAGATCTTAAAAATCTTGATAGTTGGATAGAAATCAGTTTTCATATATGACAATAACAGCTGTCAAAAGTTGACAATAACAGCTGCCAAATGTCAAAATATGAAAATAACAGCTGTAAAATGTCAAAATTTGACAGTAACGGCTGTAAAATGTCAAAAATTTGACAATAACATTGCCAAAAGTCAAAATCTGACCATAACAGCCGCCAAATGTCAAAATATTGACAAATGAGAGAAATTGCAACATATTTTTCTGTAGGCGAACAAAATTCCAATAGCACCACGTATTTTTAAGAGTTGTAAACGTGTTAAGTACGTTAGGAACCTATCCCAGTTTGAAACGAGACAGATATACATTTAAAATAAAAAAAAAAAAAAACAAAAGAAGTTGAACACTAGCAATGAAAAGATACATATTTATAATTCGGTGGCGTCTACCAAGAAAAAAAGACAACAAGGGCAACAATAACCACGTAATGTAAAAATATTCTTTTTTTTTACACAAAAACACAACTCGACGTCGTATCAGTTTTCTTTTTGCCTGTTTCGCAAAATTTTTTTACAAATCTATAAGTTACTTTGGCTGTGCAAAAGTTAAGTTTATATTTTACTCTGATATGTAAAAATACATATACAATTAAATACACCTATGTACAAGTTTATATACACGGTGTCCAATCGAAGCGGTCCAAAGTTCGAGAAAAATAGTTTTATCACACCACAGGACACCTTGTATAGACGAATGTTCCCCGAAATTTCGAGTCTCCTTAGTTAGACCACCGATTTTTTTGCTTTTACCCCTTTTTGTATATCGTAACTTTTCGCAACTGTTTTTTTTTTGTTTTATTTCGAAAATGGCACAAAAATTGCGAATGCCGCGAAATACGAACAGGTTTATTTAAAATCTAGAAGGCACTCCGCAGGTCTGGACTCCAAATAACGTACCCTCAAAAATCATCTAGCTACGATGCGTAAAATTAAAAAAAAATTGGTACACACCATATCAATAAAGCACCACAATGAAATGATAAAAAAGGCCAACTCGATTTTTGAAGGTACATATAGAACAAAAAAGACGAACGTTAATTCATAAAATAATACCTTACACAAGTAATTTTTCTATACACAAATCATTTTGGTAAATATGTACATTGGCTAATCGTAAAAAAATACAACACTTTTCACAAGCCTTCAATCATCCTGTACGCCCCTAGTAGAAAACTCTTCTTTTTATTTTTTCACATGTCAACAAATTAAAAAATGACGTACCGAAAAATAACTATTTTGACATTAAACGCTAAATTAGCGGACAAATGACAACTGACAGATGCCAAAACCGTGATAACTGACACTGATAACAGCCGACAGATGTCAAATTCAAGAAAAGTGTGAAAAAACATTGACAAGTGACAGAAATGACAGCAAATAGATGCATAATCATTGATAATTGACAAAAATAACCACTGTTAAGTATTAAGCATCTGACAGGGCTTAAAATAATGACAATTAACAAAAATATTAGCAGACGAATGTCAAAACTTTGATTACTGATTAAGTCATTCAAATTTGTCAGTGAAAATGTTGAAATATTGTAGAAATATCAGCTGATATATATTAAAATCTTGATTTATGATAGAAACTACATTATCAAATGTCAAAATAATGGAAACACAAAAATTGAGATGACAAATACATCTCAAATTCTTGATACTGGAAGAAATCGCAAATGGAAGGGTGACAATTGACAGATCTCTAATTTTTGCTAATTGGCAGAAATGACAGCTGACTAATGCTGCAACTACAAGAACTAACAGTAATCACGTCAGACATATATAGACAAAAATGGTAACTGACTGATATCTCAAATCATAGTTGACACATGTCAAAATCTCTACAAAAACGATCAAAACAGATTATTCCTCGGTACTATTCGTAAAAATTACCGATAAAAACATCAAAAATATTGATATTTCCTCGATACTCTCCTATAATATTAAATAAATTTTCCAAATCATTCATTATACTAAAAATGTACAAAAATACTTTAAATATTTCAGATCACCGAAAAAATGCCATAAGTTCGTTTCGTTGTGAAAGTTGTCAAACGAAAATCGACGATAATAAAATTGGAAACATTGTATTTTCAGTATGTATACATAAAAAAAATATTGAGCACATCAATTTAAATATTTGACAGCGGACATACGACGCGTGGCAGTTTTGACAGCGAAAATAATGACGTATGACACAAATTATAATAACGATAACCAAAAAATGAGCATTTCTTAACGAAAATTAGAAAAACAATATTTCCAATAACAAAATTTTTCATTGTACTGGAAATGAGATTCAGAAAAATCAAGTATCCACATATGGGTCAGGCTACAGGTAAACTTGTTTAAGGAATTTCGCTGGCTAAATGACAAAATTTCTCAATATTTTCGGTATTTTGACTCAGTCTAACATACCCCAGGAGGTCATCGCTAATGTTCCCTAGGTCCGTTTTTGGTGTCTCCTCGATCTCACTCTGGCATCCCCAAGAACCTGATTACATCCTTACCTAGCATCCTCTAGTCTAATGTTAAATAAGTCATTGGCTAGTGTCCTCTAAGACCCATATTAGCATCAATTAGATCTTTACCTAGCATCTCCTAGTTTAACGTCTTATAAGTCCTTGTTTCATGTCTCTTAAGCCATAATCTACTAGTAACGCGATATTTCCCCTATGATCTTATGCAGCGACCTCTAAGCCTGGTCTAAGCTGTGCTAAGCCTCTTAGGTCCTTACCTAGCATCCCCTGATCTAACCCACTCTTCTGTAGTCTCTTTGTGCTAGCCTAGAATGCTTAATAGGTTTATGTCTTGAATCCCCTATATCAAAGTCTACCAGTAACGAAATATTTAGCAAAAACTGTTTAAAACAAAACTTTGATGGGCTATATTTCAATAAATATCAATTTTACAAAAAATATTCGAAAATGAAAAATAGGAACCCAAATTAACGTCCGTTAAGTCCTTATTTAGCATCCCCTAGTCTAACGCGCAATATGTCATTGTCTAATGTCTCCTAAGTCCCTGTCTGGCGTCCACTAAAACCTATATAAGTTACCGTTAGGTCTTTACTTAGCATCCCCTAGTCTTATGTTCAATAAGTCCTCGTTTGAAGCCATAATTTACCAGTAACGTAATATTTAACAAAAACAAAACTTCCCTAAGGTTCCTTATGATCTTATCGAGCGACCCCTAAGCCTTTTGACCAGAGTCCCTTAAGTTCTTATCTAGCATCTCCTAGTCAAACATACTCTAGGCTCTTCTGTAGTGTCCTTTTGCTAGCCTCGAGTGCTTAATAAGTTTCTGCTTTGAGTCTCCTATGTTCTAGTCTACCGGTAACAAAATATATTTGGCAAAAACTGTTTAAAAAACCTTTGATGATTGTATTTCAATATAAATTTTACAAATAATATCTGAAATAAAAAAAATTGGGACCCGGATTAGCTTCCCTTAGATCCTTATCTAGCATCCCTAGTCTAACGTAGAATATATCATTGTCTAGTGTCCCCTAGTTTAACGTCCAATAGGTCCTTGTTTGGCGCCTCCTACACCATAATCTATCAGTATCGCGACATTTAGCAAAAACCATTCAAAAAAACCTTCCCTAAGGTCCTCTATGATAGTATCCAGCTACTCATAAGCCTTTGAACAGCGTTCCTTAGGTCCTTGTCGAGCATAGTCTAGTCTAACGTAAAAAAGGTCATTGTCTAGTGTCCCATATATCCCTGTCTGTCATCCACTAAAACCCATGTTAATGCCACTCAGATCTTTACCCAACATCATCCCCTAATCTAAAATCTAATAAGTTCTTATTTGAAGCCATAATCTACTGGTTAAGGCGACATTTAACAAAAACCATCTTATCCAACTTCTTCTAAGCCTTTGACCAGCATCCCCTAAGTCTAACGCCCAAATGGTCATTGTCTAGTATTCCTATGTCACTGCCTTTCGTCTTCTAAACCCCATGTTAATATCTCTTAGGTCTTTACCTAGCATCCCCTAGCCTAAACTCTAATAAGTCCTTATTTGAAGCCATAATCTACTGGTTGTGACATTTAACAAAAACCATTTATAAAACTTCCCTATGATCTTATCCAACTTCTTCTAAGCCTTTGACCAGCATCCCCTAGTCTAACGCCCAAAAGGTCATTGTCTAGTATTCTCTATGTCACATTCTTTCGTCTTCTAAAACCCATGTTAATATTCCTTAGGTCTTTACCTAGCATCGCCTAGTCTAAACTCTAATAAGTCCTTATTTGAAGCCGTACAGGTAACGAGAAAATTAACAAAAATCATTTAAAAAATCCCCGAGGTCTCCTATGATCTTATCCTGCTACTCCTAAGCCGTTGACTAGCGTCCCTTAGGTCCTTACCTATCATCCCCTAGTCTAAAGTCCTCTTAGCCTCTGTAGCATCCTCTTGTGCTAACCTAGCACACTTAATAAATTTCTTCCTTGAGTCCCCTAGGTCTTAATCTACCGATAACTAAATATTTGGCAAAAACTGTTTAAAAAATGGAAAATTTGATGATCTACAAGATTGATCTAAACTGTTTTTCCCTGCGCTGAACCGTTTTGGAGTTATTTGGTAAAAACGCGTTCTTCTGTATCCGATTTCCAGTAAAAACAGTTTGAACAACTTTCCAACCAATCGTTTACCATAACGACACCCGAAAAAATGCACAATCCGCAACAACGATTTTATTTTAATTTTTTTCTATTTAGAAATTGCACCACTCCTGCCACCCAACGTTCAATCGACCAACCAAGCGACCGAACCTGGTCGCTAGAAGACGAACAACGAAAAAAAATAATAAACGCTCAGTCCTTCGTCTCCGGCGGGTCTCATTCGTTCTTCTGCTGGCAGTAGAGCTCTTTGAGCGATTTCAGCTCGTCGATGAGCGCTTTGTTTTGGTTCTCGAGCACGGCCACCCGATTCTCTAAGCATTTGATGTACTCTTTCTTTTTCCGTCGGCATTCGCGCGCCGCTTCTCGATTTTTGAGCAGTCGCATTTCGCGCTTGCGCGCTTGGTCCTCGCCGCCGCTACCCGAGATGCTGCCGCTCTGCGCCACCACTGAAACAAATTAATTTTATCGAAAAGGTTCATTTTACGGTATGCCTAAACTGCGAGGCATCGAGCTTGACAGTTATCACCCAGAACACCTACAATTTTCGCACTGTAAGTCACCTGTAAGTAGGTTATTTGTTTATTTACAATTTAAAAAAATCGATTGTAAACCGTATCGATTGTAAAACATGTAGATTTAAAATAGAGTCGATTTTAAAAAATAATCAATTAAAAAACAAAATTGATTTTAAAAAAATAGGTTCTAAAACAAATCGATTATAAAAATCGACTGTAAACAGTATTAAAATTAAAAGAGATCGATTGTAAACAGTATCGAATGTAAAAAGCGTAGATTTAAAATATAATCGATCCAAAAATAAAATCATAAAAAAATTGTTCTAAAATTAATCGTTTGTAAACAGAATCGACTATAAAAAATCGACTGTAGAAAATATAAAAATTAAAATAGAATCGATTGTAAACAATATCGACTGCAAAAGGCGTAGAATTAAAAATAGTCGATTGTAAAAAAATAATGGCTTACAAAAAGTATAGTTTGCAAAACATTCGATAGTAAAAAGAAAAAGTTTTAAAATGAATTGATTGTAAAAAAATAATTACAAAACAAAATTGATTTAAAAAAATAGGTTCTAAAATGAATCGTTTGTAAAAAAATTATTTATAAAAAATCGACTGTAAAAAGCGTAGAATTAAAAAATAGTCGATTAGAAAGTGTCGATTGTAAAAAGAAAAGGTTTTAAAATGAATTGATTGTAAAAAGTCGATTAGAAAGTGTCGATTGTAAAAAGAAAAGTTTTAAAATGAATTGATTGTAAAAAGAAAAGTTTTAAAATGAATTGATTGTAAAAAGAAAAGTTTTAAAATGAATTGATTGTAAAAAGAATCGAATGTAAACAGTACTAGATTGTAAAAAGCGCAGATTTAAAATATAGTCGATTTTAAAAAATAATCAATTAAAAAACAAAATTGATTTTATAAAAATAGGTTCTAAAACAAATCGATTATAAAAAGTATTAAAATTAAAAGAGATCGATTGTAAACAGTATCGAATGTAAAAAGCGTAGATTTAAAATATAGTCGATCCAAAAATAAAATCATAAAAAAATTGTTCTAAAATTAATCGTTTGTAAACAGAATCGACTATAAAAAATCGTCTGTAGAAAATATAAAAATTAAAATAGAATCGATTGTAAACAATATCGACTGCAAAAGGCGTAGAATTAAAAATAGTCGATTGTAAAAAAATAATGGCTTACAAAAAGTATAGTTTGCAAAACATTCGATAGTAAAAAGAAAAGGTTTTAAAATGAATTGATTGTAAAAAGAATCAATTGTAAACAGTATCGATTGTAAAAAGCGTAGATTTAAAATATAGTCGATTTTAAAAAAATAATTACAAAACAAAATTGATTTAAAAAAATAGGTTCTAAAATGAATCGTTTGTAAAAAAATTGTTTATAAAAAATCGACTATAGAAAGTATTAAAATTAAAATAAAATCGATTGGAAACAGTATCGACTGTAAAAAGCGTAGAATTAAAAAATAGTCGATTAGAAAGTGTCGATTGTAAAAAGAAAAGGTTTTAAAATGAATTGATTGTAAAAAGTCGATTAGAAAGTGTCGATTGTAAAAAGAAAAGTTTTAAAATGAATTGATTGTAAAAAGAATCGAATGTAAACAGTACTAGATTGTAAAAAGCGCAGATTTAAAATATAGTCGATTTTAAAAAATAATCAATTACAAAAGAAAATTGATTATAAAAAATAGGTTCTAAAATGAATCGATTATAAAAAATCGACTGTAGATAGTATTAAAACTGAAAGAGAAACGATTGTAAACAGTCTCGACAGTAAAAAGCATAGATTTAAAAAATAATCAATTACCCAACAAAACTGATTGTAAAAAAATAGGTTCTAAAATGAATCGATTGTAAAAAGAATCGACTATAAAAAATCGACTGTAGAAAGTATTAAAATTAAAATAGAATCGATTGAAAACAGTATCGACTGTAAAAAGTGCAGAATTAAAAAATAGTCGATTAGAAGGTGTCGATTGTAAGAAAATAAGCGATTACAAAAAGTATAGTTTGCAAAACATTCGATTGTAAAAAGAAAAGATTTTAAAATGAATTGACTGCAAAAAGAATCGATTGTAAAAGCGTAGATTTAAAATATAGACGATTTAAAAAAATAATCAATTACAGAACAAAATTGATCGTAAAAAAAAGGTTCTAAAATGAATCGATTGTAAAAAGAATCAATTACAAAAAGTCAACTATAGATAGTATTAAAATTAAAAGAGAATCGATTGTAAACAGTATCGACTGTAAAAAGCATAGAATTAAAAAAATAGTCGATTAGAAAGTGTCGATTGTAAAAAGGTTTTAAAAGTCGATTAGAAAGTGTCGATTGTAAAAAGTAAAGGTTTTTAAATAAATTGATTGTAAAAAGAATCGATTGTAAACAGTATCGATTTAAAATATAGTCGATTTTAAAAAAATAACCAATTACAAAATAAAACTGATTGTAAAAAATAAGGTTCTAAAATGAATGGATTGTAAAAAGAATCGATTGGAAAAAATCGAATGTAAACAGTATTAAAATTAAAAGACAATCGATTGTAAACAGAATCGACTATAAAAAAGCGTATATTTAAAATATAGTAGATTCAAAAACGAAATCATTATAAAAAAATAGGTTCTAAAATGAATCGATTATAAAAAATCGACTGTAGATAGTATTAAAACTAAAAGAGAATCGATTGTAAACAGTCTCGACAGTAAAAAGCGTAGATTTAAAATATAGTAGAGTTTTAAAAAATAATCAATTACAAAACAAAACTGATTGTAAAAAAATAGGTTCTAAAATGAATCGATTGTAAAAAGAATCGATTGTAAAAAGAATCGACTGCAGAAAGTATTAAAATAAAAATAGATCGATTGAAAACAGTATCAACTGTAAAAATCGTAGAATTAAAAAATAGTCGATCAGTAAGTGTCGATTGTAAAAAAAGGTTTTAAAATGAATTGATTGCAAAAAGAATTGATTTTAAAAAATCGATTGTAGACAGTATCGATTGTAAAAAGCGTAGATTTAAATTATAGTTGATTTAAAAAAAATAATCAATTACAAAACAAAATTGATTGTAAAAAATAGGTTTTATTAAAAATAAACTGAGAAACTTATTTTCAATAGTGACACAAGCCAAATTAGGACATCATTGTTGAAAAGGTTCATATTAATTGGTGTCAAATATACTTTTCTGGAAGATCGTCATAACTAAAAAAAGAGATGAAAATATAATATAAAGCGGTTGTGTCGTTTTTCCGTACTACAAAGTCGCGAATTTATGATGATGGAAAATGACACAAATCCAATTCTGATCAGATAGTCAATGAGACAAGATCGTCAATTTTCGGCTAGAGTGATAAATCAAAATAGGTCATTTTATTTAAAATAAACTGAGAACGTTATTTTCACTAGTGACACAAGTCAAATTATGACATCATTGTTGAAAAGGTCCGTATCAATTGGTGTCAAATATACTTTTCTGGAAGATCGTCATAACTGAAAAGAGGGATGAAAATATAATATCAAGCAGCTGTGATGTTCTTCCGTCTTTCAAAATCTGTTTCAGAATTGTGTCACTATTCTAATGTACCAACGATACGTATCGGCCTACTAGGTGTTCTATGGTTATTACTGTCATTCATCGTCATCTCAGTCAAGAAAATCGTACTTACCGGGTACGAAGAATTCCTGTCCTTGAGCATATTGCACGATGGCACCGCCCGCCGTCGCGTTAGTCATCGTCAAAGTTTGTATCCCTTGACCCCCTTCGCCGCTGGTTATCTGTAAGGCGGTGGCCGGTAACACTGCAAAAAATATCCCGAATTCAATTACGTTTGCTTCGGGTTCTTCGGCATCGAAGTACTAATAATTCTCTGAATGTCTTTTTGATAACGGTACATTAATGAGGAAGTAAGAAGAAAATGCAGCTGATAAGGAATATAATATGTCAAAAGAAAAACGGTATCTATAACAATCTAGTTGTGGATAAAGTTGACAGTTTCTTGTCAATAATTAACGTACATTTATGTCTATAGTTGCAGTAGCTTCTTTGTTTAGCTGACTATAATGCTGTTCAGCTTTGGTTACAGAAGATAGATTGTTAACATAAATGAAATTGTAGAAACAGTTTTTGAACCAACAAAACTTAAAAATGAAGACCGTTGACAAGATACACAATTAACTGAAGAATAGAAAAATGTAGAAGAGACAGACAGAGGAAAGTATGGGAAAACTATAAAAAAAAATTACAAAAATGAAATGAGAAAGACATATATTTCAATGTTTAATTTACAGTCTACACACATGAACCATCAGTTCTCAATTATTTCATCAAATATTAACATTAAACACCTTATCAGCTACCTCTTCTCTCATCCCATTGTTATTCTCTCATTTCTTTATTACGATTGACTATTTAAAGCAATAATTTCATTAATTAAGACGAAGTTAACATTGTTATTCTCTTGTACCCATTTAAATGGACCAGTCCAACTTACCAATGTAATAATAACTGTTAAACCAGATGTAAACGAAAAAGAAGTAACATTCGTGTTAGTAAAAACAAAGTGCATGAGCTAATGCTTAATGAGTATGCGTCACAAATTTATTGTAAAGCGGACCCAGAACTGTGCCTTGTGATGCTCTCGTTAATCGCATAGAGCGCTTGTCACTGACGGTTGTTCTGTTTACTCTATCGACTAGTTTTAAAGTTAATGAATGATCCATCCGGTTTCTATTATATTTCTTAATCTGATATTCACACGAATAAAAAATATTTCTTTAAGGATTTAAGAATGACTTTCTTGAATACGTAGCAAAATTTAGGGATGTCTGTCAGCTAATCAGAACTGTAACCATTAACAGTTATGCAACATTTGAACATCTCTCAGAGAACTGTAGACATATTCATGGATTTAATATTATTTTTAGAAGCGACATCTATGAGGCAATGACTTGATCTGCTGTTTGTATATAAATTGTCAGGCTTTTCAGTAAATCCGAGGTGAGGTTAGATAACGTCTAGCTGCGGTTAGATACCAACAAATGTATTAAATAAAAAATGATATGGAATAGTAATTAGGGACTAAGTGCAACGCTATTATTAGTGCGATCTGAATGGGACAAAAGACACTATGAAGTAGACGTGACGTAAATTAATGATGAAAGAAAGATCATGCGCAGTGGCAGAACTATTTTTTTCTTCTTTCATACATAGAGCAAAATGCTTGAGTTTTTTTGAAAAGAATGATTTACCTATTTAGAAAATGAGTACACCATAGAAATATCCAGCCTTTTTTTATAAATCTTATCGATATTATGCAAACGTTTCTTTGAAATTATTGAAATCGGGGGTCAGAGCGGAAACCTATTCACACATCTACCTTTACTTTCAGTGATCTGGTATGTAGTCTTAATTATATGTATACATACTGCTTTTTCTGGAAAAAATAATGAAATTCTTTTCGCCTTTACACACTGCTGGCAAAACAACAAAATTCTTGCTTTAAAGTAAAAATATATTAATATTTTATATCACTTTCCGGTTCAGACATTTTTTGTATTTTTTAGCCCCTCGCTGTTATCGATAAGATTAAGAATTACAGAATAACGAAACCTTTTTACCAGACTAACGTAAGTGAGATTTGTTTAAACGGCATTTACGATGGTCTGGAAAAAGGTATCGATAGTTTATTTTCCGGATTTGGTACATTTGAATAGGTGTGGAATTCTGTTTCTATGAATTTATAAAAAAATGTAAGAATTTATACGAATTTCTATGAATTTATATCTAAGAATTTATATAAAACAATGTTTATGGCCTGAAGTACTAGTGGGGCGACGCGTCCCATTAAACCAACTGGAACGTTTTTCTCCGGTTTTTGTTCAGCACAAATTTTACAATCCTTAATATAATTTTAAATATCACACAAAAAATGTATAAGAATTTAAACGATTTTCTATAATTTTCTCTGATTTTCTCTAATTTTCTTCTATGATTTTTTATGATTTGTTATGATTTTCTATGATTTTCTATGATTTTCTAAGATTTTCTATGATTTTCTATGATTGATTTTCTATGATTTTCTATGGTTTATGGTTTTATACGATTTTCTATGATTTGTTATGATTTTCTATGATTTTTTATGATTGTTTATTATTTTCTATGATTTTCTATGATTGATTTTCTATGATTGATTTTCTATGATTGATTTTCTATGATTTTCTATGATTGATTTTCTATGATTTTCTATGATTGATTTTCTATGATTTTCTATTTTATATGATTTTCTATGAGTTTCTATGAGTTTCTATGATTTTCTACGATTGATTTTCTATGATTGATTTTCTATGATTGATTTTCTATGATTGATTTTCTATGATTGATTTTCTATGATTGATTTTCTATGATTAATATTCTATGATTGATTTTCTATGAGTTTCTATGATTTTCTATGATTGATTTTCTATGAGTTTTTATGATTTTCTATGATTTTCTATGATTTTCTATGATTTTCTATGATTTTCTATTCTATGATTGTCTATGATTTTCTATGATTGATTTTCTATGATTTTCTATGATTTTCTATTTTATATGATTTTCTGTGAGTTTCTATGATTTTCTATGATTTTCTATGGGTTTCTATGATTTTCTATGGTTGTTTATGGTTTTATACGATTTTCTATGATTTGTTATGATTTTCTATGATTTTTTATGATTTTTTTATGATTTTCTATGATTTTCTATGATTTTCTATGATTTTCTATGATTTTTTACGATTTTCTGTGATTTTCTATGATTTTCTATGATTTTTTATTGTTTTCTATAGTTTTTTTACGATTTTCTATGATTTTATATGATTTTCTATGAGTTTATACGAATTTATATGAATTTATGCGAATTTCTATAAATGTATAAGAATTTATACGATTTTCTAAGAATTCCTATGAATTTAATTTGTATGAATTTCTATGAATTTTTATGAATTTCCCTGAATTTTTATAAATTTCTAGGAATTTCTATAAAATTCTATGAATTTCTATGAAATTCTATGAATTTCTATGAATTTCTATGAATTTCTATGAATTTCTATGAATTTCTATGAATTTCTATGAATTTCTATGAATTTCTATGAATTTCTATGAATTTCTATGAATTTCTATGAATTTCTATGAATTTCTATGAATTTCTATGAATTTCTATGAATTTCTATGAATTTCTATGAATTTCTATGAATTTCTATGAATTTCTATGAATTTCTATGAATTTCTATGAATTTCTATGAATTTCTATGAATTTCTATGAATTTCTATGAATTTATATGAATGACAGTTTACCTTGAAAGTTGTTTGACCCATGCAAATCGACCGAATAATAACAGATATACAAGCTTAGACCTTTGGCTTTACATCTGTGCATTATCTGTCACATTAATATGAAAAGGAGAACTCATATAGCAGGATATCAGGAAAGTAAAATGTCATAGAAAAATGTGAAATAAAACTTAAGATGAAGTAAATAAACTAAAAAAAAAACATTGGTATGTCATTTCCAGCGCTCATCTATTTATTCCCATTCGATTCAGGCCAATAATAGCAGAGATGTATCTTAACGCCTCTTTGGCTTCGCTGCTACACCTGTAAATGACAGCTAAATGACAGTTCAAGTTGAATGCCGTTTGACCCATTCGAATCGAACGAACTGTGGCTGAGATAACTGCCGTCCTAAAAATAGATGCTATATCTACAAAAAATTAAATTTTAATATTTTTGCATCAATGGGTTCGTGGAAAGTTAAATTAACTTTTTGCCAAGCAGAAGTTCCCAAGATATTAAAAATCGAACATATTAATTAGCCTCTGAATACTTAAGGGCTAAGGAAATAAATTTAAATTCCATTTTCTTCGCTTATCGCTCTCAGTAGATACGGCATTTGTTTTTAGGACGGCAGATATAAGCTTAGGCGCTTTTGGTAATGTTGCTGCGCATGAGTACTTGTCAATTATAGCTAAACAGTTCAAGATAAACGCTGCTTGTGCCGAGGAGCGGTTAGATAACGTCGAGCTACGGTTAGATAACAACAAATGTATTAAAAAAAGAACATTGGAAACTATTCGCACACTAAGTGCAACGGCAAAGACAAAAGAGCATAACATATTTGAATAGGACAAAAGATCCTATGAAGGAGACGTGACGTAGATCAATGACTATCATTTTACCTAATATTGGTCCGATTTTACTTTACGGTTAGTACCCAATTCAACAAGAAAAATGGTACCTATATAGAAATGTAACTTATGTAATAATTTGTAACACATACTCCTTAACGCATTGGCAAAAATAAAAAACAAGATAAGATAAACTGATATTGGAAGAGGGCAAAGAGACAGACTACCACCAGTATATTCTAAATTCGTAAAAATATATTACTGTTGTAAAATAATAAAATCTAATGACTCTTTTTTTTTATTATTTTTTTTTCTTTTTTTTTTTTTTTTTTTTTGTAAAAAAACTAACCTGTGTGGTATGGGATAGAGTGAGACGACAACTCACTCTCTGCGTCTGACGAAGTCTGCTCGATTTTTGCCTCTGTGAACATCATAGAATTCAAAAATTTACAAATATTACAATGTTCACGTCATATTCGCAAGGTTTCCCAATTTTCGCTAACGAGAAAAAATAAAAACAAATAATAATAATACCTATTAGAAAAACGAGGAAATTTGAGAAAAAATTTAATCGTAATAGCACAATAATTTTTTTTAAATAAACAATAAAGTAAACCGGAGAAAAATTTAAAAAACAAAGTGGTGCAAGCAGGATTCGAACCTACCATATCTAGCATACCGTGCCTTAGCATCTCGACTATGAGAACAAAAAGCGTACTGAGATTAAATTAATATATCTGTTCTCTTTTTTAATATTTTCGGCATAAAATAGCTTTCAAATTTTTTATAAACTATGTTGCCAGATTTCAATATTTGTCTAAAATCTTCTTAAAACAAAAAAAAGTTAAGTTTGTAGACTATTTAAAACCCGTATTAAAAAAAATATCGTTATTTTTAACTCAAATTGGGAAACCTTTTCGAAAATACCGATTCGCCAAAAAAAAACTTGAAAATAAACACAAAAAATTACTGTAATTCAAAAATCGCAACATTAAAATGGATAAAGAAAAGCAAATACAACATTTTTTCGGCGAATGAGTTTTTTCAAAATTTTGACAAGCCCATTGTTTAAGGTTTTTTATTTAAATCCCATACCACAATAGACTATGCCTTAAGAAGGGTGAAATAAATTAAAAAAAAACTAATTACAGCCCTGACATGCAAACATTCAAACTGAATTGGAAGATTTTAAAAATGAAACAGAATTCATATTTCTGACTGATTTTGCAAATAAATCATGCACTATAAGATGAAATTTGCATTAAAATAGTATGATACAAATATAACTGTACTAAAACCGAAAATTTATCGAAAACGCCCGTACTAAATAGCTATTTTCGATGCAAACTCCATTAATCCATGCAAATAGCCTTTGACAAATACATTATGTACATAAAAAAACTGTACCTCGAAACAAAATTAAAATTATATAATGAAATGCCTACCAAATTTGTTTTGAAAATAATTCCATTTAACTAAAAAAAAAAAAGAAATGGAAATTTGCTTTTAAAACATCGAGAGAATTCCTAAGGCATGCATTTAAAAAACATACCAGCTATCTCACCCCCGCCAAGATCGTTTAAAATCTTCCTGTACGACGGCCGTCGCGTCAACAAATCCCTGCGCTTTTTCGGAGACTCTTCCTCTGAGAAACTGTCGCTGTCGCCCGCTTCCACCACCTAAAATAGTTTTTCTTTAAAAAATCTGCTTCGAAACAGCCGTAATTAAAAAATAAATCCATAGGTGACAAATCGGGCGATCTAGATGGCCAGCGAATAAAAAACGGGAGATAAAACCAGTCGTTTCTCGGGTATACTCACTCTCAAAGTTTGCAAATTTCCTTGTGTCGTTTGTATGACGGAATTCGGCTTACTGCTGACCAATATGACATTTCCTTTACTCAACATGGGCTGTAAATTTGTGGCTGTCTGTATGACGGACTGTTGGTTGGGTTGAATCACGCTTTGTACCTAAAATATGATACATACAATAGCTGTAGCAATTTTAGTAATATTAATTTATGAAAATAAAACAGAATGGAAGTGTTCACGTTTATACGTCCATTAAATCTTTAAATACGCTCTTAAAACTGTCTTTTATTTACCTTTTAGATCAATTTTATGCTTTTTAAGGATTCAAGGAGGAAGATGGACACTGCCATTGTTGGTTTAAAATGGTAATTACTAATCTATTCTAATTTGACCCCCGCAAAAAATATAGTCAAAAGTTCTAATATATCCGAGAGAATAATATTGTATTTACTAGTAAAATATGTTTTTAAGTTTGTTAAGATGTTATTGTGTGAATTTTGGATATTTGTAGGAATTGTCATATTTAATAACAGTGGTTATTGGCTAAACTTAGTCTCATTGATAAGATTGCAATATAGAAATCTTAGATTAATAAAAAACAGAAGTACCATTATTTATTATACTAAAATATTTATAATAATAAAGTTGTTTGTAATTCAAAATAAAAGTCTGAATACAAAATAAATCAAAAAAACACTTTTTCCATTTAGAATAATCCTAATGTATTTATATGATTACTGAAGTTGATGTGACAAATTATATTTTACGTATTAAAGCTAATGCAACATGAATAGACGACATTAATAATAAAATGATTATTTTCTTATGTCCTTATGAATCTAACAATTTTAATATATTATATGCTATGCAGTGATGATATAATCCTCCTATCTGAAAACCCGGAAAAATCCAGAAAACCAAAGTTATCTGGACAGAGGAAACCAAAAAAGTAGTATTGATATCAATAAAGAAAAAATAATTATGGCGAACAATAAAAAATTAGAAAAATCAAATATACTACAAGCAAAGAAGTAACACAACTTTTTTAGGGGTAAAGACAACAATTGATATGATTTAGCAACGTTTTTGAGTTATTTACATAAGTAACTAATTTATTAGGCCAAGGAAAAGCCTCTAGTGACTGCAGCTTAAAAAATAAATCACTTAAATTGGCTAAAATACAAGAAAAGTTAGCTTTCGACAACTGGAAAAAGATATATTCAATGATGAGTCTAAGGTCCGTATTTATAAACAGAACTCAGCTGAGTCGTCCTTAGGTTATATCCAATGAACTGGTGGAGTAGAAAGCCAATGTGCATATTATATCAATAAAACAAGATGCGACTCTATGGGCGCAGCCATTTTTATTTCTCATCTCACTCGGGAGTATTTATAATAACCATTTTCTGTTTCACATTGTTATTGTTCAATCCACAAGCTGGTGGATCAGACAATAACAAAGTGAAATAGAAAATGGTTGTTATAAATACTCCCGAGTGAGATGAAAAATAACCTGTCTTCGCCCATAGAGTCGCATCTCAAGCCTATTGACAAGCATTCTACCCCACTCCAGTTCATTGGTTATATCGCGTAAATTTAGAGATGAGTAGTAACAAATCTGTAATTAATATACTTAACCGTTACATATTTGCTAATATCCATCTCTAAATCACAGTATAACGCCTGAACCACGTGAAACTTTAGAGACGTTGCAACCGAACTTCGATTTTAGTTCAAGGACGACTCACCCAAATCTAGTGGTCAGATTCTATCGATAGTCTCAAGAGTTACTATCGAAACTATACCAATGTTGCACGTGATACAGAATTAATGGATCCAGGAATCCCAGTGATTGCATACGGGCATAATATGGGCATGTTTCTTTAATTTATTTTTAAAGCAATAGGTGGCAGCACAAGCAGGAAGCAGAGACACAAAAAATCTCGGGAAAACACACTTGCTATTGCGTGCGTATATGGTAAAAAAATTAATTAGGCAACCTTTAAAACAGATTATGATCTAGTGCTGATAGAGTGCGTTCTTATAAATTTGATTTATTTTTAATTTTAGTTATTTTAAATCGAATTCTGTGAAAACGAATTTAAACTATCGATGTTTACTTAAAACAATCGATAGTTTTCTATAGTAACAAACTATCGATAATATCGATAGTGCTATCGATAGTATCCGACCACTACCCAAGTCCGATTCAGCTGAGTTCTGTATATAAATACGGACCTTGGTTTGACATTTCTGTAAGGGATTATAGGTTATTTGAAATAAAAAAGAATATTGCCTCAAAATAACAGTCAAATTTGCAAAAGGACGAATTATATGGGGTTGTACTAGTTTAGGAGAACTAGAGTTTATTGACAACACACTTAAAGCTGTAAAATATCCAGTGCAGTATCTTGCAAAATAATGTATTGCCAAATATTGATAAATTATGTGGAAATGACGGTGATATTATCTTTGCCAGACTTAAAATGTTTTGACACAAAATAAAAATATGCCTTCTAAAGGACAAATTAAAACAAATCTAGGAAACAATAACAAATGAATTTTGTACAAAGTTTGTGAATAGTATGTCAAATCGTATTTGTGGTAAAACAGGTCACAGTAAACGCCAAATCTAAAGAACCAGCGCAAATGATCAAGATCGTTTACTTAAAAATCGCCACGCCCATTCACAATTTGAACCTTGTCCTTGCTTACGGTCAGTTGCGTAACGACTAGATCATTGTTTGTTTCTGTGTTTTGATTGAAGTGACTGGTTTTATTTTTGATAATATCTTCTATTGTGGGTGAAATAAAGCGCAGATCTGTTATTAACGGACAAAGTCGTGAAGTAATATACAATGTTTTTAAATATTTTGACGCAACAAAAAAGGAAGGAGTTACTTTAGATGATATCAAACTTCAAACTGCACAATTGTTTCTAAGTACAAATTCTTCTTCAAATGTGACTCATTTACATTTCTAATATATACAAAATAAACTAATTAGTTAAAGTAGGTACTTAAGAGAAATATATTAATAAAATTCCAATATCATTACCGGGATTATCTCACAGAAAACTAATAACAGGTAAAGAGATTTAATTAAGCTCAGTTATTAATATCTAATTGATCACTTAAGAGTATATTTGAAATTTTAAATCTATTTATTTCAAGTGTTTCTAAATGGTTGAATGCCTTTATTCTCAAAATGTGAAACAATTTTTGCATAAACGATTGATTTTCAGATAAAAATATGTTTTGTAGAATTATTTTTGTTTTTAGTATAACTATTGTAATATTTTAAATAGCTTTTTTTTAAAGTACAATATACAAATTTACCACAATTTAATTTATTTGAATAAGGATAATTTCCTGACCGTAACAGAATTTTATATAAATACCGAACAGAAAGCGGTAGAACAGCCTTAACCTAAAGTCGACTTACTTAAAAATAATGATTTTTTTAATTGACTATAGAATTATGTACTAATAATAACACTAAGCAATATGTATGAACAAGTATCATTCACTATTTTCCATTTATTTTATGTCTTAAAATATACGCGTCCCTAGTTTACAACTTTCTAGGTAAGCTACCAATTCTATTCATCAGTAGGCGTGTTCGTAGCATTATAAATGCGCGTCCTTGGTTCTTTAGATTTGGCGTTTACTGTACCCTCTTCTAATGTTACGCCACTGGGCTCTACATCAGAAGTTACAGCCAATGAATATGCTCGTCTGGTATTACTTGTCAATGCGCCAGGTGGTGGGTGTTTTCTGGACCCCAGTTGGTCTATAAACACTATTTTGCGATGAGAGATGGACGCACTTTGAATAATGGAAAAATGTAATCAAAATGGCGACTTAGTGTCGTACTTTGATTTATTTGAAGTCAATAATTGAACAGTGATCGCGAAATGCAAAGCTATCAAGATATATCAAGTGAGTTATGAAATCAAATATGAGAATTGTAAATTGCAACAAAAGAATTACAAATTTAAGGGCCCCCAACAGCCCTTTAGCAGTGGTCTAGCCATCTGACGATCTGCATATCTCATCTGTGACATTTAGCTGGGAGTAAGATTTTTAGCTGATAGTTTATACAACTTTAAGTTGTCTAATGTCTCCTTTGCAGGAGTTCTACGTCTTAAATATAAATCCTCACAGATGACACTTCCCGATGGTCCCGTTAACCAATTCAAAAAATTTCAGCCGGAGATAGAATTGTACCACCTTAAGGTTGCTAGCATTTAGACTATCAGGCTTTATTTTGAATTAAAAACAACTTAATTTTATAAACATTTTGCTTTAGATAATAAATAATGGTACTGCTCTCTTGAAATATTTTCATATTTTATTAATTTATTAAAGCGCTGCATATGGTAATATTATTTTCTCTACAAGCTGAATTTTTTCGTTGTAAAATAAATAACGATTTTTTTTCCTCTTGTGAACTCTATTCGACCACACACTGTATGTTAGAAATACATTTTTCCAAGTTCTACTTAAATGAAAAATGGTTTTCGTATCCCTAGTTCGCACATATTTAATATTTTCGTAGATAAAGAGAGATTCAAACTTTTATACAGGGTGTTTGTTAATAAGTTTCTGAGATAGTATTTAAATTTTAATTTATTATTATTAATTATTTATAAGTTTTAAAGACATTTACAAAACATTTTGGAGGGGTGTATGTGCATTTTTATTTCTACTTGCACCAGTAGCGTTCGTACTTTTTTTAATAAAAGAAAAATGGTACACAAATGACTTTTTCCCCATTAACTTTTTTTAGCAAATAATTTCGACAAACACCCTGTATAGGAGATCAGTTTACTCAAAATTATAATTTCGGTATTTATGTATATTTATATGAGTGTGTTAGTACTAAAATCCCATTTAACATACCAAGTCTGTTCTACTAAAAAAAAAAAAAAATATAATAATAATATAAAGTTTAATATAATTTTTATGGCACCATTGTAAAAAAATGTATACCCAACTAAATGTCAGTAATGAACATTTTATCTACAGGGTGTCTCATTAAGAATGGGATATAGAACAACTGAAGATTATTTGATTAAAAATAAGACGTTTAAACATACTTAAATAAAATATTACTTATTCGTCTTACTTTAATCAGAGAATCTTCAGTTGTTATGTGTCCCATTCTTAATGAAACACCCTGTATATGCTACTTTATTAGTTCGTAATTATTGTCCTTGCTTGCAAGTAAAATTGCAGAAATTCATGTTGCACTAACGTCCTTTCAATCAGCTATTGCAATTTTTCTTGCAATTGCAGATAGATCTTTTTATTATCATTATACACAAGAGTGATTACATGTTCGTCATTTTAAAATTACTGCCGCAATAAGTAGTTTTTCAACGTTTGTTTAAATTTATTTTAATTGATTTTGGTAATAAGTTGTGCTATGAGAATGAGACGGGATTTCAAATAAATCCTTATAATCAAACGTTTACATTATGCAACTGTACAATAATAACTTCGGTTCTATAAATTTTGATTTAACATTGTCTCTGTAGCCAAGGTTACTTACACCTTATGCAGCACTTTTCTTTGTAGCCCAAGCCCATAATATGAATCAAAGTCAGATGCAGTTCAAATTAGTAAAAATCGTTTAAATTTATTAAATTTCTGATAAAAAAATACATCAATTTTTTTTATAACTATCTATGTGTGAATTCAAGTTTAAAGTTGGGTCCATATGTATCTAGATTAGGTGGGTGAAAAATTATCGATTAATCGATTTTTTAATCGATAATCGATTATTTTCAATCATTTTTGATTAATCGATTATTTTCGATTATGGAAAGTTAATAAAAAATCGATAAAATTCTGATTAAAAAATACAGCAATTTTTTTATAGATATTGGTATGAATTCCAGTTTAAAGTTGGCTCCAGATGTAACTAGATTAGATGTAGGAAAAATAATCGATTAATCAATTATAAATCGATTTTTTAATCGATTATTTTCACCTAATCGATGATTTATTTTGATCCCAGCCCTAATATATAATAGAATACCACAATTGTAGATAGTGACTCATGTTGTAAAGAAATTTTATAGGCCAATCAAATTAGACGTTTACCCTGTACAAAAAAAGTTATTTTTAATAGTTGTTGATTTTTTGAATACCGACAAAAGCAAAAATATTCAGTATTAATCAATAAACAAATTAGTGGAATATTGCAAAATTTATTTAATCTCTTACAAATTTACAATAACCTTCTTCTACTCACAATTCAAAGACTATACGTTCAGATAGTCTCAAAAAAATTGAGATCGCTATCTTTATAAATTTTTTGAATAACTAATTCATTTGTTATTATTTACCTCCAGAACAGATATCATTTTGTTGAAATATTTTAATAATTTGACTGGTCTATTTTTAAACTGTTCAAACGATTAAAAGTTCGAGGTAAAATGGAACGTTGTCAGCGAGTAGTTTGCATCTATATATAATGGTAGATAATGTCCGAGATAAACACTGTCGTAGCAGATTAAAGCGACTTTATTGGCAACAACGCCTTTAAAATTTTCTTGATGTTATTGTCATAGGCGCGCTGATAGGGATTTCATAAAACAGATACCGAATTGTTTGTAATAGAGAGGTTAAGTATAACAGGATCTCTCTAATATTAGTGGAAGGCTATTTTACGTTTAAAACAAGGGATGAAACAAACGATATTAATACTTCGAAGGCAAAGACTAGAGAAAGAAAAAAAATGGAAGATATAACCATACAAGTATTTCGCAAAGAAAATTGCCCCCTCTATTCAATCTAATGAAAATCTCCCAAAAATATCAAGACGTGCTTTATTAAGTACTTTGCGTAAAATGAACTTCAGGTATTTAAAGAGAAAGAGGAATAGTACCCTTATTGAAAAAGAAAAAATCATTTAATGGCGCAGAAAATATCTGAAAACAATAGCAGAGTTTCGAAGAGATGGCAGAAAAATATATTATACAAATGAAACCAGGTTAATTGAAGGACATACCGTGACAAAAATTTGGCAAGATTTAAATGTAAAAAACAAACATCAAGCTTTTGTAGATGGTTTATTGACAGGTTTAAAAGCCCTATCTGGAAAGGGAAAACGCCTTATTATTACCCATATTGGTAGCGACTCAGGATTTGTTGAAGAAGGTTTAAACGCATTTGTTTCTAAAAAGACTGGAGATTATCATGAGGAAATGGATGCAGAACATTATGAAAAATGGTTTTCAGATATTATTTTAAAAATCTGTTATTGTTATGGATAACGCTCCATACCACAGCCGGCGTGTAGATAAAACCGCACGCCTATGACTCGTCAATTTCTTTTCCCCTCAGACCCGCAAAGGTCTATGTTAAAAATGTGAGTCACTCTCTACAATTGAGGTATTTGACTATAGATATATAACAAAATTTTTGATTTTGAATTACAAGATTTTATTGTTGAAGAACCGTTGCTTGGATTTTTTTTTAAAGTTTTATGAATGATTATTTAACATTATAATACATCTACCAACACTTCATGCTGCAGTGTTTTCACTTAATCCAGATTAGAATTAAAAAATCAATTCATTACCAGAGTAACGTAACAATGGTTTATGCGAAACGTCAATGTAAAAATCGTCAAAAAGGTGACGAAAAATAGTCAAAAATCGTTCATAAAAGTTCTGTAAATAATCTTTCCAAATACCACGCGAGTAGAGATATTTTTTTAGAACATTTTATTGTTTTTTTTACAAATTATACTCGATAAAATCCAAAATACTACTCGACTCACGTCTCGTGGTATTTTAAAGAGGATTTTATATTGTGAAATTTAGATGCATAATTTCCAAAGAAACAACGAAATGTTCTCAAAAAATTTTTCCCTCTTGTGGTATTACCCTTGATAATTACTGTATCAAAGACAAAGTGTTGACACATTTGAAAATTTAAACAAGTATTAAAATCGTTTATATTGATCAGAAAAGTTCAATAGTGACTCAAACCAAAAAACACCAGTTTTTGTTTTATATCGACAAACGTAACAAAAACCTTATTAAACGGTTTATCTGTAAAAGTGTTGCAAGCTTATTTCTACAGTTATTAAATAGAATCCGTTATTAACACATTAAAAACTCATATTTTAAGTTGTGTCAGTTTTGCTCTATAAAGTGGCGAGGTTAAAAAAGGTTTTTATTTTAGTTTTGTAAATTCTCAGAGTTGTTACTTGTTAACCACATATGGCATCCCCTCTTCAACAGTGACACAACTCTAAAAGTATCAGTCTTTGTTTTATATCGACAAACCTAATAAAAACCTTATCATACTTTTTATCTGTAAAAGTGTCATAAGTTCATTCTTAACGCATCAAAAGTGTCATATTTTGAGTTATGTCAATTTTGATCTCTAAAACGGCGAGGTTGAAAAAAGGTTTTTATTTTAGTTTTGTAAATTCTTATTTGTGACTTATTAACCACATATAGCATCTCACTTCAACAGTGACACAACTCAAAAAGCATCAGCTTTTGTTTTATTTCGACAAACCTAATACAAACCTTATTATACTTTTTATCTCCAAAAGTGTCACAAGCTCATGTCTACAGTAATTAAATAGAATCCGTTATTAACACATTAAAAACTGTCATATTTTGAGTTGTGTCAGATTTGCTCTATAAAATGGTAATGTTAAAGAACATTTGTATGTTAGTTTTGTAAATTCACATAGTTATGACTTATTAACCACATATCGCATCCCTCTTCAATAGTGACACAACTTAAAAAGCACCAGTTTTTGTTTTATATCGACAAACCTAATAAAAACCTTATTACAATCCCAAAACGGACCTCTGTGGGACTCAGTTTTTAATTGGTAAAATATAAAAACTTAATTTTTTACTACATATATACTGGGATCTGTTGCTTGAATTAAATTTGATTAATGGAACACTTAATACATCTAAATTAAAACAGTACAATCTCTCTATTAAGATGTCATGGTATAAGCATAAGCTGTCAAAACCGTTTTTATTATTTATTCTCGTACATAAACTGTTGCTTTAGTGATAGAAAAAATTGTTAGCTCTGTGGAAGATACAATTCTGAGGTGAAAATGGCCGAATTGGGGACACAAAATCACTTTAAAAATCCCCACAATGTATACATTTCTAGTATTTGACATAGTTTGTTACGTTATGTAAACTAACTCGGTGAAATATGAAAGTTTTGTTGCTATGATCCGTAGGTTTACGAGGGAAAAACAGTAATCCTGCTATTAATCAATTACTATTGTTCAGTAGCCTTAAATTTAACTAATAAAATTGATATGTCTTATGATCCAATTAATTTTTTAAAACATGTAAACATATCAAGTACCTATTAAACATTAAAGACATTGTAACGGGTATCAAAAATAAAAAAATTGTAGATTGGAATGGTATCACAGCTAAAATATATTTGTTTCTTCCAGATAATGTTTTAGCAGTGTCAAATTAATTAAATTATCAATTATGTTCATTCTATTTGTTATTACCTGATATATTCCCTAAAATTGCTTGACGAACCCACAATTTTTACTTGCAGCAAGGAAAATTTCGAAATGCAAAACGACTCAAAGAATTTTTTTACTTAGCATTATTATTCTCTCGGATATATTAGGACTGAAAGACGAATTATAAAGCACGGTGGGGCAAAGAGACCCCTACCTGTGCTTGAGTATGGGACGGTAGGGTCAGATGTACAATGTTAGTCGCTGTCACCAGATGGGGCTGGTTGTTAGTGACGCCTACCGAAGATGCAATGCCAGTTTGCGGGTCAGGAGACGGGGCCAGAGGGTCCACTTGACATTTCTCCTCGACGATGGCATCCATGGCCTACTAATCGGACACCTGTCAAAAAAACAAATGGTTTTCATTATTGTCATCATACCCAAGAAATCTTTCGTACATTTTTTTATAATTTTTCGGTTTCTACCTAGGGATGTAATAATAATACAAATCTTTTCTCACATCATATTATATAAACTTTAATATTAAACTACTAAAGGCACTCCCTTCTTATCACTGAGCAAATTGTATCATTCTATCTGATCAGTTCCTAGTTATAAGTATAATTAAATATATATGATTAAAATAAATCAAGATGGTGTTCCACAAGGATCAGTCCTTGGACCCCTATTGTATATTATTCATGTTCATTACCTTCCAAATAAGTACATAACAAAATATATGGTTAGTCTTCAACATCTATACAGTCTCTTTTATTTATTTATTTACAGGCAAGCCCATTTCAATTTTAAATATCCCAAATATTTATGGTGCTGTAACACAAACAAAGGTCATACAGACTAGGAACATTTAAAATAACAAAATAGGTTAATCGACGGTTAAAAAAGAGAAAATACATGGTAAAACATTAGCATTAAACCTCAATAATAAGTAATCGAGTTTTGAGTGATGCAAAGAGAATATTGAACAGTCTGAGATCATTATGCAAGTTAGCTAATCCAAACATTCTTGGAATGTAGCTGTTAAAAGCTTGGTTTGATTCATAAAATGTTTGCAGTTGTCTAGTTGAACGAGTTTGAAGAAGATTTATTTTTTTAAGAAGTTCTGGACAATTATATCTACTATTTATAATATTAAATAGCAAAGTAAGGTCTCTCTGTTTTCGCCTAGTTTCCAAGGGGGGGGGGGGGTAAATAAACTGTTCCATGAAATCATGTTCACAATAAACACACTGTCTATTTTCCTACTATATGTCATATAGTGTGGAGACCAAACGGAAGAGTAATAGTCAAGGTGGGGTCTGACTAGCGAATAACAAAAAACTTCAATTGCAGTTGTGTCATTAAAATCATGGGTCAATCTTTTGATAAAACCCAATATTTTCATGGATTTGTGGACAGTAGCAGATATGTATTGACTAAGGCTTAAAATGGGATCAAGAACAATTCTAAGGTCTTTAATTTAAGATATGCCCATTTAAGCCATACTCAAATGTAGTTGGAGGTAGGTGAAAAGATAAAAACACATGATATGGCATTTATTGGCATTCAAGTCCATGCCATTTAAAAAAGAGCATTCTGATAAATTATTGATGTCAGACTGAGGTCTACAAGCATTATCATGGGTTGTAACAATTTGGAAAAAATTTAAGTCATCTGCAAATAATAAAGATGTATTGTTACGGAAAAAAATTATATATAAAAAAGTTAAATAGTAAGGGTCCTAGATGTGACCCCTGAGGAACACCCGAGGTTACTTGAAATAAGTTAGAATATTGGTGATTAGCTCTAACCATTTGAGTTCTATTAGAAAGATAGCTACCAATCCATTGTAATAATACTCCACACAGACCTGATTTGTTAAGCTTTTAAAGTAAGAAAGTATAGTTAACCCTGTCAAAAGCCCTGGAAAAGTCAGTATAGACAGAATCGATTTGTAAATCTTTTTACCAAGGCTACTGACAGGAAGTCGATATAAGTGACTAAATTTAACTTTGTTGCACAAAAACCATATTGTTTTTCAGTTAAGATGCCGGAGCAGTCATGTCAGTTATGTTTTCAAACAATTTAGGTATTGTGCTGAGAATTTGCTACCCAATTTGTATATCGATGGTCTAATTCTAATGCCTCGTATCTGCAAAAAATTAAAATGTCACTTTTTTGCGCCATTCGATTGTACATTTGCTCTGTCATTAGTTAAAATACACCGTATTGGCTTCGAACAATATTTACATGAGAAATTGCACTATTAAACTAAAAAAGCTTCTCCTGTAAAATGTCAATCCATGCAGTTACGGGGTATTAGAATTAGACCATCGATATTGAGATTGACTAAAGTGACATTTTGTAGTAGAAAACGGGATAAATCGATGGAGGGGGGAGATGGAAAATAAAAACTGATAATGCATCAACATTAAAATCAGATATGACATGTGTCATCTCTCTGCATTAAAACATTATACTAACAAATAAACAAGACTATTATTTATTAAACAATAATAAATTAGTTGGTTATATTCTAAATTTGTTACAATAAATCTTTCTCTTTTTGATGTACTAGATACAAAATTATTATGTTGTATTATGTTGTGACATCATCATAAAAATTGATATTTATATGCGGCTTAAATAAAATATTTATTTTTTTTTTAAATCGAATAAAACCGAGACAAAAACAGGACAAAATCGGTACATATGTTAAATCGGGACTGTCCCGCCTAAATCGGGATGGTCACTTTAGGGATGACATAAGAAAATTTTCAATAATCAGGAAGCTCTCATGTGCTGATTGATTTATTGAAAACATAAAAGAGAGGGCGGGACAGTACGAAGCTGCAATTCCTTAGTAGGTTGGAAGGAATAGTTTCAGGACTTGGCCATTTTTTGTATCAAGGCTTAACAATATATCATAAATGGTCGAAATTAGGATAAGGAAACTTTAGATTCAATTTGGTCATCATTTAAATGTAGGATATGTGTAGTGTAAACTAAAAGAAAATGCCTTGCAAACAGATTTAGTACTTCACTATTGCAACTTGCAACATAGTCCTCCAAATTCATCTTATCTGGTATACTGCTATTTGCTCTTTTACCGTTTACAAAATTCCAAAAGGCTTTAAGATTAGTCTTAACAGAGGTTTCAACTAGGGTTGCCAGATTTAGGAAAGGGAAAAGCAAGGCAGATAAAAAGGGGTATTTTGATATAAAAAAAGATTTCCGCTTATACAGGGTGTTTCCGAACTTGGCGTCCAAATTTGTAGGGGTGGTAGTTCGCATAATTTGAGAGCGATTGGCAGATTTCATTTATACAAAATATTTAAAATAAAATTTATTAAAAATTTTAAACAGGTACGGTCCTGCACAGCAATACGCACTAGAAAAACAATCGGCTACGTCTTTCGATACCGGCCGGGGGGAAATTTGTAAAATCGCATCTGTTTTTGAGTTGTAAATCCCAATGAGTAACCGATCAGGCAACTATTGCGTCACGCGCTCAGAGTAGGACCCGCTTTTTGATTTTTTTATAATGGTTCTATTTTATTATATTTTTTTTTTAGAAAAATTAAATCTGCCAATCGCTCTTAAATTATGCGAACTACCACCCCTACAAATTTGGACGCCAAGTTCGGAAGCACCCTGTATTTTTATAAAACAGGTCCTCCTCAAAAAATCATTATTTATAAGATTGGAATTAAAAAGTATGGCATTGGATAAAAATCGTGGCATTTAGGTAATAAGCGTGGCATTTAGGTAATAAGCGTGGCATTTTGGTACCTCAGTTTACTGATGTAGACTATCTTCTACCAAATTATAGTGAAGCAAGGCTTCAAGCAGGGTTGCCAGACGTCCCGCCATAGGAGGGACAGTCCCGCTTGTTACTAATCTGTCCCGCCTTTTTTTTAATAATTCCAAGTCCCGATTTTCACAAGTGTCCCGGTTTTCCCGCCTTTTCCACACTTTCGCAGAAAATGCAACACTTTTCCGGCCTCTCAAGCATTGTAGGTCAAACATTTGATGTTGTTTCGTGGTCGAGGTCATTTTATTCGGTGAATTACCGCATGGAAATTTCTGTATTTTACCATTGTACCTGCGGGAGTTAGATTCTATCCCGTTGCATTTAACCGTTAGAAGGGAGAAGCTTTTGGCAAGTGCAATAAAACAATTTTATTTACAACCATATATGTAATGTTGTCATTACTAACGTCATTGAAGGTTGGGAAGTGTCACATTACACACCTCTATTTCCCGCCCTCATTTCATCTATTCCAGATGAATATTTTTTATATTAAAAAAAAAAAAATAACACATTTTTTTGACAAATTTTATAATACCTATTTAATGGCAAACAATAAAAAACAACAATGAACTAAAGTACAACAAACTACTTATTGATATTTATTATTCGCGAATTTAATATCCGGCTTTATCTGACATTTATTTATATTGGTGACAGTTGTTTACCCAGTAATCACAGTAACAATATATTTACTTGATTATGCTGAGAAAACCGCGCGCTTGGTAATTTGTCGTTAAATGTAATATTTTAGGTATGTTCAGAACGAAACAGATTTATTAACTTTGATCGAAATATGATTGTTGTAAATAAAATAGTATACAAACCTCGGTAGGAAGTTTCATTCCTGTCTCGAAATCATAGCTAACCTCGACGCTTCGCGTCTCGGTGATCTAACTAATCTCACGACAGGAATGAAACTCTTCCCACCTCGGTGTGTAATATACTATTACAATAATAACGCTAATTTTACGATAAATTTTGTAAAGCTAAAATGGCTTCAGGATCCGATTCTTCCATTATGTCTGACGAAATAGACTGGTTAGGGCCTTTAAGAGGTGAAAACTGTGGAGTCTACGAAGATATAGTGGATTGTTTAAATGAAAATGTAGAGGAAAGCGCGTCCTCACCGTTGGTGTTTGTGGACATTCACGAAAATTCGGTAAGGTTTAATTATTTTAAACATCCCACCTAACTAAATTTTTAACTGCAAATAATATTATACTTGCCTTGTAGATCTAACTTTTTTTTGTTAACAAAAAATTAAACGTATTGTTGTACTTTTCAGAAAAATGAAGCAGGATCTTCAAAAATAAAAAATAAACGCTGATAAGACGCTAAGTTTACACTGACTAGAAAATAATTATGAGTTTCAGTGGCGTCGCGATGAGGAGCAGTCTTAGGAATAATATTTACAAAAAAAGTGTACGCCACTGACTTTTCAACGTTTATATATTTCTTTTTTGATTAAGCGGCTAAAAATACAACTTTTTTTTATCTTACTTCGTTTCTGAGGAAAAAATAGAAACCATTTTTAATAAAATTAACAATAAATTCAAGTTAACTTCGAT